ACTTAAGTCCTTACTTAACTCCAGGTAATCACATCAAGATAAGTGTGTAAGGTAGACGGAGTGGACATTGAGAAACAATGACGCTGTCGGACGTCATGAAACTAAAGGGCGACCGCGCCGGGTGATCATATAATGTCCTTTTTAATTTAGAATAATTTGGCAGATTATCAACGTATCAAGTTAAAATTTTCAACATTTCTTAAACTTTTGTTGATTTATGTTTTTCGTAAATTTTGTAAGCACAGACTACATAGTATTAATTTTATCGCATCAGTCCACGAACTTTTTGATAACCCCTCGTATTTAGCAATATATCATTATCATGCATAAAATGCATGTGAAGTTGTCTCCCAGTTGATTTAATACGCAAGGGCATGCTCTACATACAAACAATTTCTAAAATGGGGCAAATTATTGATATAGAAGTTGATAGTATAAGGATATCAACTGTCTCGTTTTAAGTCAATATTTTGCACTTGAAATTCCATGGTCGATACATACGAACTTGTCAGCAATACAATATGTCGTTAAATTGAATGTTGATTGACGTTTTTCATACAAATTGTTAGGCCATTATATCAAAAGATTTATCCGTTTGCCCGATCATGACAATGAGCACATGGTGGGTGTTACCAGTGGACAAAGGATGCTTGCTCCTCCATGGCACCCGATCTCATCTCTGAATTTTTTATGTGTCCGTATTTGCTCTGCTCATTATTTGTATGATTTCAACTGACTCCATTACTGTTCGTTATCTTCATATATCATTCTTTACGATCAAGTTAAATCCAGGCTTTTTTGACATCATAGACAGCTGTTTTTTCAATAAAATGGAACTCGTAAGTTTACTTACCTTGTCATTAGTCATTAGCAAAATTATTTTCATAAAAACATTCTGATTGTGCACACAAGTACTCTGAGGTACTATTATAGTAGATTTTATAAAGATGCTTAAGTTTCTGATTGACAATTTCTATGTAGTTTTTTGGAGATCAGGTCTTCAAACAATCTGTCGGAATTTCCATGGGTACCAATTGCGCCCCGTTATTAGCTGACATATTTCTGTATTCATATAGAGAGAATTTATTCAAGAACTTATACATGAGAAGAAAAAGACACTTGCTGTGGCCTTCAACTCGACATTATATATCGACGACGTATTATCAATTAATAATAGTTACTTCCATTCATATGTCGATTCGATATATCCTAGTGAGCTTGAAATAAAAGATATCACAGAATCTGACACCTCTGTTTCATATTTGGATATTTTACTAGAAAAAGACGTTTATGGTAACCTAAGAACAAACTTTATGATACACGTGATGACTTCAACTTTTCAATCGTCAACTTCCCTTACTAATGTAGCAATACACCCTTATCACCTGCATATGGGATTTATACCTCCCAGCTGGTTCGATACGCAAAAGCATGCTCCACGTACGAACAATTTTTAAAACGAGGTAAGCTATTGACAAACAAGTTGAAGAAACAAGTCTATCAACAGTCTCGTTTAAAGTCATCATTTGACAAGGCTATTATTTAAACACTGAATTGTCTACGGATTTTTCTGTTTGCCCGATCATGACAATGGGCACACGGCTGGTGTGACCAGTCGACTGGGGATGCTTACTCCTCCATGGCACCTGATCCCACCTCGTTTGCTCTGTTCACTATTTGTATTGTTTCAATGGTCTTCTGAGATTTATTAATGTTCGTTATCTCCATATTTCCATGAAAACTCTAGAAATTTCTTATGCTAATTTGCAAGACTGCAATGTCTCTTTTGAAATTAGATATACTGTCTAAAAGAATAAAAGTACATGTCTCAGTCAACCACTTTTCCTTCAACCATTACCACCACTTTCGATCAGGTTGAACAGGAAATAGCACAAAATCGAACCATTTTATCCCCATCTTTAGGTCACCTGAGTAACTCAGGTGACCTATTGTTATCTCTTTTCGTCCGTCGCCGTGCGTTGTTCGTCGGTCGTAAACTTTTGAACATTTTCAGCTTCTCTGGAACCAGTGAACCAATTTCAACCAATTTCAACATTTAGCAACTATGGGTGAAGGGGAACAAAAATGTGAATTTGTTGCCCTGTCCCCCTGGGGCCCGAGGGATGGGACCAAAACCATCAAAATTAATAGTCTTTAAAAATCTTCTTCTTTACTCCTGGACATCAAGCAGTCAAACTGTTAGCATGATTGTAATAAGCATTGAGACCTCTACCTAAATTTGAAATTCACGGCCCCAGGATCAGGGGTTCTGGTGCTAGGGCGGGGTTCTATTGATTATATAGTGAAAATTCAATATATTGAAAATCTTTTTCTCTGCTCCTGGGTATTAAACAAACTAACTGAGTACATACATGTAGTTATTATGAGCAAGGATGCCAAAATTGTGAATTTTATGGTCCCTGGGTCAGGGGCTCTGGTGTTAGGGCGGGGCTCTATTGATTATATAGTGAAAATTCAATAATTCTTTGAAAATCTTCTTCCCTGCTCCTGGGTATTAAATAAACTGAGTACATACTTATGATGATCAAGGGTGCCTCTTCCATAAAGTTGTGAATTTCATGGCCCCTGGGTCAGGGGTTCTGGTGAGGGCGGGATTCTATTGATTATATAGTGAAAATGCATTCTTTGAAAATCTTCTCTGCCCCTGGACATTATTGAAGCAAACTAAGTGCATGATTGTGATAGGCAAGGGTGCCTCTTCCAAAATTGCGAAATATAAGGCCCAAGGTTAGGGGTTCTGGTGGTGGAAGGGCATGGGGCTCTATTGATTATATAGTGAAAAAACATATCTTTGAAAATATCTTTTTCTGCTTTTGGTTATAAATCAAAGAAACTAAGTGTATAGTTATGATGAGCAAGCGTGCTTCTTCCAGAATTGTGAGTTTCATGGCCTCTGGGTCAGATGTTCTGGTGTACGGGAGGTGGCTATTGATAATATAGTTTTTGAAGTGCATGTTATGATGATGAGGGTAACTCTTCCAATTTTGTAAATTCCTTGACCCTGGGTCGGGGGTTCTGGTGTTAGGGTAGGGCTGTGCGGAATTTGTAGTGAAAATGCATTGTACCTGAAAAACTTTTCCGCTTCTGGGCATATCGTAGGCATACTTAATAAAAGTTTTAATAAGCAAGGGTATTTTTACCAGATTTTTGAACATCTGGACCATTTGGCCAAGCGTTCTGGTCCTGGGCAGAGCTCAATTAATTTGTATTCTATTGAGAGATGTTATTCCCCCTTTCCATTCACCTTTGATAATTAATCACTGTAAATAATGTATTTGAAAGGTTAATAGAATAAGAGAATTATGCAAGATGTTTTATTGTTTAATACAAAAAGAACTTTTTTAGATTTAATGATCAGGTAGACCTGAAAATACTAGATAAATAAAAATGAGACCACAATAACTTATCTTATTAAATGTTCTTCAAAGACCAAGAGAGGTCAAAGTGAGAGGTTGTAATATTAGACAGGGTTAAAAATAGTACAGAAGCTAAAGACTAATAGTTTGTTAATAGTCTGCATGGTGATAGTGATAAGTGGGGGACAGATTAGAACTTAATATATGAGTTGTTACTGAATATTGAACTAATTTTTTGTTGATTCTGATCTACCTACTTCTCTTGCTTTTGGGCAACAAAGCTTCATCTATCAGTTTATTTTATACTCTGTGAATCCTTTAAATTGTTGCATTATACTCAGGTGACTGTTAAGGCCCTTGGGCCTCTTGTTTTTTAACAGTTAAAATATATCTTCATCAAGCCTATTTTAAGGGTCTGCAAGAAGCTTTTGAAACCAACCTTGGTAGCAGTCGATTTTTACTACATAATACCTTATTCATGTACAATGTTTTGAAATAGCCCTGGTATAAAATAATTCGAACCTAGATGGGTCTGAAAGTCTAAGTAATGGCCTTACCAATGGTTTTGTCAATAAATCTCTATATGTTATATGCACCTACTGGAATCACGTTAATATACACGTAATGATATGCTATTTCTGTCCTAATCCTAGTGGAAGGTCCAACGTAATCCGTCCAGATATCAGCTAAAGAAGCGGTTCTTCACTTTGAAAATATTCATTTTGTTGATGTGTTTTAGATGCAATATTATTTATTCATAAATGTGAGAGAAAAATTAATGTGTTTCTTTCGGAATGTCTTCTACCTATTTCTTATCAAAAGAATTATTGAAGGAGAAATATTGTCTTTGTCTTTGACGATTCTTGATCGTTTCTTGATTCAGGAATATTTGCTTTTTAATGTTTGAAGAAAAGGAAGTATTTAAAATTTTGATAATGATTGTCCTTCCCTGTGTTCATATAAATATCAGATTATAATTCAAAATGACAAAGAAAAAGTATGAATGCCATATAAATCCAAAAATTGTGTATATAAACACATGTCATCATTGCTTTGTCTTTATGAAAGAAGAACAGGCCTTATTTAGTCTAATTTATAAAATTGTTAGCATCATTATTATTTATAGAGATAAAACAACATGTTACTTATATAGACGATACAGAAGAGTTTTAATAAACATCATTATTACTTGATAAAACTCTTCTATGTAAGTAACATGTTGTTTTAGCCCTCTAAGTTAAAAAAAGAAATACGACTCAAACGTTTGATACAGTTTTAGTCGATACTTCTTTTATTCAAATGAAGATGAAACAGGTTGTTTCGAAACAAACATTTCATATCAAAATCATTAAACACACGAATATTATTTTATTCCAATTAACAATATCTTTTATTTCATTTGCACAAGTAACAGGTGGGTATTTTAACAAAATAAACAATAATTGAAAAAGTATCAAATTTGATATCTAGAAAATATGCTTTTTTATAATTATGAATTAAAATATATTCGTCAATTTGTGTTGCACGAAAGAGAACAAAGATGTAATTCAGGGTAATATTGATGATGAAACAGCAGGTGGCAGAAGAAAATGTATAAAAAGTGGTCTCTGTTTTTATGAGAAGCTGACCAAGGAAGAAACTGGTAAATATGATATTATTCAACCTTTTCAGTATTTTTTCTTGATGTTTTTTTTAATTGATTGTGAGTAGAACTTATCAAATGTGAACCTTAAGTTGCTTCTTATTCTAGTTCTCATCTCATGACCTTGTTGTTTCATCTCATTGTTCCAATATTATCCATTATTTGAATCATATGTTTTTCTTTGATCGAGATATATTTCGCTAACAACATTTACTATAGTTAACTATAGTTTATTATAGATAACTATAGTAAATACTTTGATTTACTATGAAACTTTACTTTAGAACTTTTTTGAAGATTTAGAGCCTTAATACATGTACTTCCTAAAATACACATTATATATATAAATTTTATATATACAGATAAACTTCGGTATCTCGACATCGGATATGTCGACAACCTGGGATATGTCAACATCCTTCCGCGGTCCCGGCAGTATTTACTATATAAATGATTTGCAAATACTCTGATATGTCGACCTTGGTATTGTCGACAACCCGGGTTATCTCGACGTATATTCACAGTCCCAAGAGCAAAATTTACCTGGTATATGTCGACATCGGCAATTTTCTGCTCTACTGAACCTAACTGTTTGTCTGATAGGGTCGCTCGTCACGCACGGACGACTCCGGGTATCTCGACGTCATCAAAGTTTCACACCTTTCACACCCATGTTTTGACTGCACGCTGCTTAATTAATTCTATAGACTGTGTTTGTAGGTGAATCCCAAGCCCCTTCGGCGTCTTTGATAAGTTAATTGAGCTTGGGTAATATCATTGCTAAATCTACATGATTCTGCGTAGATGTACAGACTGTTATTTATATCGAAACCTAACTATTAAATTTGAAAAAGATAACTAAATTACAATGAATAACAAACACACTGAATAATTCAAACTAAGGAATTAAAAAAAATGTTTTAATGATAAAATGTATTCAACAGGAAATAATCCAATTAATGACACGATTGACCGAATCAGCGTAATTCGTGTATCTGTAACATTACTACGTTAGTTTAGATACTCAAATCTTTTTAAAAAAATTAATTTTAATGTACACTAGAAAAAAATAATCGGCATTTAATTTTTTTTTACCGTATATCGGATGTCGACTTTATACGGTTCGAAGTTTATAGAGCGCATTTCGTATCCTGTTCTGACGAAAAGGCAAGTTACATCCAAATGCAGCTCAATGCTGTAACTTTGTACTGAAACTTTGTGAATTTGGAAAGATTTCGATAAAGAACACGTTTTATAATAACTTCTTAGATTTTTAATAAAAATAGAGGGAATTCTGAAATATGATGAGCTACAGTCTATATTAAAGTCATGTACATATAATGAGCTTGTCTGTTTTGGTATGCAATGAAATCTTAGATGTCAAGTCTCAATTCTGATATCTCGACACCTCGGATATCTCGACATTTTCCGATGGTCCCGTCGATGTCGAGATAACGAAGTTTACCTGTATATAAATTTTTGAAACAATATATAATTATACATGAAATATTTCCTTTTAATATCAGAAAATTGCTTTAGGAATTTAAAAAAATAAAATATAACGACCTGAAATTCATAGTAAAAATACTTTAATTAGCTATAGTAAAAACTTTGATTTACTATACTGAAAATTTTGATACTATAGTTAACTATAGTTTACTATAATTCTTTTTTGTTAGGATGACGGATAACGCTATCAATGCGCATTTATGAAAACAAAAAACGTGATCAAAGAAAAACATTATAAGATTTATTTCTGATCATTGAATATTTGTCTTTCAGTGATGAGATTTGACATGAGTATGAGTATGTATGTATTTCGAATTTTCCTCGGTAAGCTGATTCTATGAAGGTTCGTAAATGTAAAAGGAAGCTACTCCAAAAACACTGACAACTCTTTCTTGGTCACCGAATTTTTTTTTCTCATCTCTATATCTGAATTCTAAACCACCTCAAACATTTTCAGTATTACACCCTGTCCATGCAAGACATCTGGCAGTAAATTCAGTTAGAGATTCTTGTTGATTGTTAACACTCATATAGGCCTATAGTATGTCCACATAAGAAATTGTATAACAGCAACAAAAAATCATTACACCGAAATAAACTCTACCGGTTTCATTTTCAGTTCAGGAGTTTGACAATATATTGCTTAGTTACACACATACAAAAATCAACATTGTCACTATGACATCAAAAGGGCTAAAATTTAGTTACGCTTTGAGAAGTTTTTTCCCGAGATTAATTGAAAACTTTTAAAAGCAAAGTAGTTTGGAAAGTCTTCAATAATCTTCGAAAACAATTTCATGAATTTTGATGAAATTATTCGCAGATTAAATTTAGACACGGCCATTGGAGTCAAAGTTGCACCAACTTATGCTACACTAAATAAATAACAAGTCTAAAAACTTCACTGGGAAATGGAGTGGGTCGGTCACGTGATCAAATCCTGTGAAGGCCGAAGGCCTTCTCAGAAGATTTGATCACGTACCGACCCACTTCATTTCCTAGTAAAGTTTTTAAACTTGTTAGTTATTTAGTGTATCGTTTGTAAGAAGCGATATAAAAGAATGCAAAGTGTAGCGTTTGTAAGAAGCGATATAAAAGAATGTAAAGTGCAATAAAATCAGGCACTAGCTCAGAAAAGAAATAGATGAATTGTGAAAGTGTGAACAGAAAAAACTCGAAAAATATTGTTGGGTTTCTTTCAAGGAAAAATTGAATGTAAAGGAAAAATTCCCTGGGCAAGAATTGTGGCAAATATCTAAATTCTCTTACATAGTAAGAAGTATTAAGAAAGAACGCAGGTACGTTAAGGCTTCCCAGAGAATATCGCAGTGTCCTCTGTGCCTTCACTTCTCTGAACTACAAATATATGACGTCATAATTGAAAATGACGTCAAATAACTGCAAACTTGAGAATGTCATAAACTTTACACCTTATTTCAATCTGCATATAAAGTGTCAGAAAGGTAGTGTAAAACAAACGTGTTTTTATCTCTTTTAAAAATCTGATATTATACAATAATGGACTCTTTCGGTGGTGAATTTGGTTTGTTATTCACCAGAAAAATATCAATATTGACCGAGGCGAAGCCTCAAAATGAATTAAAACACGCAATTTCATTGCTCTTGCTGGAAATTCTCAAAATAAAGGTAAAGGAGAGTTGCAGATGCAAATATGCACTACATAACGACTCATCAGGCTCATGCGTTTCATAAGCATGAATGACAGTTCTTTGACCGGAAGTCCAAGGGTTACTACACTACGCCAGGTTAGAGAAAATTCGACCTCAGTATCTGAAAAACAGGCACTTAAAATGCTTAAGAATATTTTTTTTTCGTTCAGATGAAGAGACCGATAAACCTAATGCATCGTAGAAATCGAGCTGCAATTGTTGTACACGGCGGACTAGCACACTGTAATTGAATGGTCGGAAGGGGGATGATTTAAGAGTTGTTATGTGTTACTTTCTAAGGTTTAAAGAAGAAGTTGAAGAACTTTTTAAGTACAAAGTTATAACCTGAATATAATTCCCCCCCCCCCCCTAAAATTAGGATGTTGCGTTTCTTTTGCGTTTCAGTATATATTCAGCGGGTGCAAAAAGTAAATTCCTGTTATGGGAAACTACATGGAAACCACAGAGAAACATAATGTTTACATCCTGTTTCCCGTTGGTTTCCATAGCGGATGCTGAGTTATTCTGCAGATGGAAACTACAACGCTGCGATTCCATTGAGTTGCCCAAACCTGATGTGTCCAAGTCTCCATGAAGTTTCCTATGAGAAATCTGAAGATTCCACTGATTTTCATACATTGGGCAACCACATGGAATCAGAGCATGTGGTAGTTTCCGTGTCATAGAAACTTGAAGGGAATCCCTAAGTCTCCTACGATGGGAAACTACTTGGGATTGTCAGAATTCTACTAATTTCCGAAAGTTGGGGAACAATATGGCATAAGAACGTAATAGTTTCCTTTCTTTAAAAAAAACTTGAAGGGAATCCTCCAGTTTCAAACAAAGAGTAACTACATGTACTAGGAAACATCGGGATTCTTCTAGTTTTTTTTCTGAAAGAGAAAACATCATTGAGTTGTTACATAGTTGTTTCCATACAGTGGACACTTGGGAGAATCTTGAGCATTCCCATTTTGGAAAAAAATGACTGATATGCATAATGTGACATTCTTATTTCAGGTATCCAACATAATGTTTGTTAGAGTGTCTTACCTGTGTCTGATCAGTTTGGTTTTGTTCGTGGCTTTGGAGACTGTTCGTTCGGTAAGAAGGAAAGAAAAAGAAATGGATTGAGGGATGTTTAGAGAGAGAGAGGGAGGGAGAGAGGGAGAATTTTGCTCTGTATTTGTTTTAAAAGCTCATTTCAGAAAATGTTTAGGTACCTACGTGTTTGAGAAACTTGAATCATATAGGACAACTTTTACATACTTAGATATTCTGCATGATCGCTGTCGTAATACACTTGGCAACAAATATCCAGTATTGTTAAAGTCAGAATGGAGAAAATAACATCGATTCTGTAATTGATAACAATCTTTCACAGCAGTTTTAAGATTCATCTTGTCTCCGACATTTTTTTCTTTAATGTATTCTTACAGGAAGATGAAAATATCAGGAGTCCTGAGACCAGGGCAATAAATAAAAGAGGATGGTGGAGGAAATCACATCGTCACTGGAGAGGTGATTTCAGCATGATTTTATCAATGTTCAGCATGATTTTATCAATGTTAAGTAAAAAAGAATACCAATAACAGAATATTAGAGTGTAACTATGTGTCGACTGTTTAAAAGATAATTTAAAGAGTTAATGTTCCTGGCAGAGAAACAATATCCTTATTTGAAGATATTGTTGAAGTATGCTTAAAAAGAACATTCTCTGTAAAATTCAAATTTAAGCTGTAACATATTAAGGTGTCAAGCAATAAACGATGTTGGCAATCAAAGATGTTTATGATCAAGAGATCTTGATGGCTATACAAAACAACCTTACAGCGAAGAGGTGAAACTTTGTGAACGATTATGTTTTTGTCTCTCATGAATTCGGCTTTAAATTCTATTAAACAAGGTCGTTGTAAACGATGCTCTGATCATTTTTGTACCTTATTTTAGATAGAAATACATTTTTTAGACTATTTTTTCTCTTTCGTATACTTACTTTTCTTTTTTCTTTAAAAAAAAAAAAAAAGAAAAAAAAAAGAATATTGTAATAATCGTAACCAGCATAACTTGGCTTTTAAAGGAAATATGCATTTTTTTTTTTTTACAATCTTTGCTATCAACTTATATGCAAATTTATAGACCACGGAATTTTTGTTTTTATTAAAATATTATGTGTTTGTTACAGGACGAAAGGTGGCCTTCACTGCATATCTCGGTAATCAGAAAATATATCGCGCTAAGCAGGTTATAAGGTACTCTCGTGTGACATACAACTTAGGGAGAGCGTACAGACGGGGTATTTTCCGCGCCCCCTCAAGCGGAGTATACGTCTTCTTCTTCACGTCCATGCCACAACGAGGCAAAGGAGATGCTCTTTGGTTGGTGAAAAATGGAAGATTAGTAGTCGAGTCTGTGTCTGGAAGAGTATCCTCGGCTTACAACATGGGGAGTAATATGGCAATCTTGTCCCTTAGAAGAGGCAACAAGGTTTGGGTCCAAACTTCCCCGAAATGGAAATCCTCAAGGAGATACAGATACAAGTTCTCAGCCAATTCATTTTCCGGCTTTCGGTTGTATTAGTCAGTCGTCTGACAAACAGCTTTTGCAAAATAGATTGAAATATTGATCATTAAAAAATAAATCGTTTTGACACTTCATTTTTTGTTTTAATTGTTATTTGGTACGAAAATCTTTGCATTGTAAATGCCCCCCCCCCCCCCCATCTCTAAGATCTGATAGTTTTTATATTTTCATTACAGAATTTATGTAAAGCAGACATATTATAACTTAAAAGAAGAACAATTTGTTATTTATGTTATTCTTATATAAAATGATATCGATCATGCTTTAATGTTAAGTTTGAAAAAAAAAAAAAGTTGCTTCAATATATTACCTTCAGTGCTGATTCTTGGTCCAATCTTTGCAAAGAAAACTTAATCAGAGGGGCATGAGATTTTTAATTTTAGGACAAAGGCCTATATACTTCGGGAAGACAAAGTTGTATATTTTATGATCTATTCACTTTCTAGGTTCTTATTTATAACATTCTTAATAAAGCCATCCATTGGAACCGATTAGAAAACAATTTTTTCCTTTTTTTTTTTAAAAAAAAAGAACTTACAAAAAAGCACACCAAAGTTTGAAAACTTGATTTTAATTCATTGCTCTTTATTTTTCTTCTATTCTAAAATTATGTTCTTTTTTAAAATTAACAATCACAACAAATTTACACTATGTACTTTTTTGCTAATTTCAGTAAAAATCCAAGTTAATAAAAAGGGAAAAAAAGGCGTAAGATTGAAATTGCATGGACTTATTTTCTATATGATACCCATATGTAGTTAGGTGGGCAAGTTGAAAACTGAAATTATAACTCTTACCATATAAAGTTTGAAATCCAATGTACAGTATTCAACAAAAGGTCTTTGTTTTTATACTGAGTTTGACTATGGAACGTTCAGTCTACCTTATTAATACAAAGGGCTCACGGCGGGTGTGACCGGTCAACAGGGAATGTTTACTCCTCCTAGGCACCTGATCCTACGTCTGTTATTTCCAGGGGTCCATGTTTTATATCCTCCTCACAGATTTATGTTGTTTGTTAATATTTTTTGAGATCGATCACTGTTTGATGTTTTCACCTTTTTTTCATTTTTCAACAGATTCACTCAAATTCAATCAATGATTATTGTCTGGTGTCAGACAGTGCTAGATCTAGTCTAGTTGGCCAGTGGTATTCCTGTGATAACTTCTCTTTGAAAATAGAATCATTACTTTTACATCAGATAGCATAAAAAGAGAGAGTGTATGTCTATTATTCAAAGCAATAAGTTAAAAATGTTATGATTAGATTGTTCAGACTAGATTAGCAGATACGTGTGAACCGTTTTGCTCATCCAGGCTTTGTTTAATGACCCAAAGTTCTTAAAAAGAAAAAAAATCATTTTAAATCCATTGTTTTTATAAAGTTTTAAAAATTGTTATTGTCAAACTTAAATGTATATTTTCATGACAAGGGTCGTTCAATAAAAATAATGCAAAAGTTCATCTAATAAGAAAAGTACGTAATACAATTCTTAACATTTTCAATCCCTCAAGGTATTCCCTGTAACCCTACTCATATATCTTAAGTCTTTTTATTTATGACCAGAAAACCTCAGCAAACTCATCTTTAGGGAAGCATCAAAGACACTGATGAATTTCATTTTCTATGGCATATCTAATATTGTACAATCTTCTTTTTTAATTGTTTTCATGCGTTTGCATATCTATATTTTCACATTCCTTTTTTTACTTTTGAATTTCTGAATGCATCTAAAAACGATACAGCGTTAAAGACTATTCTTTCCACATATAAAAAATCATATCTTTAATATGAAGTCTTCGGCGATTTATGTAATAAAGGACATTTTTACATAGTCGCTCATTTTATCAGTTTGACAGAGGTCAGTTTTTAAACACTTTTCAGCTCATTATGGTGACGATGCTTACTTTGAAAGTGAATTCCTTTGCGAGGACAGTAGGGAAAAAGCATGCGATTTTCCTTCTTTAATAGACCTTTTCAACCGTAAAAAATTAAATTAGATCAGTTCAACATTTACTGTGATATACTGTATTTTGCATTATTTATTGAACGACCCTTGTATATCTTGACAACGAACATAATTGCATTCATTAATAGCAGGTACTTAAGTCTTAGGAAGTTTAGTTTCAAAAAGACTGTATAAAAAATGTAATCAATTTACAGAAGAAGCATTGCAGAAGAATCTAACATTGAATAATGTATTAAAATTTCGAATAGAACCACAGTTCTTCATATTATTCTTCGTAGTATTATGGAAATTTAAAGCTATAAAAACTATATTAAACAGAACGTGATTGCAATAAAAAAAAAAAATAGCCGAGAAAAAGACGGTTCATGTTGGGTCACGTTAAAATTTTCCGAGTAGAATGAAACCACAGTACAATGAAAACACGTGTCACGTAAAAACTGAAAACTAGGATATATAAGCATAGATATCTCTAAAGCCATTTACATAATGAGAGTAAATTTGATATCCTCACTGGTTCACAACTTACGTCATTATGTGCTGAATATGACCTTAGGCTAGTTCATGTAAACAATAGTGTTTGTTTGTTGTTTTAGTCCCTTTCTAGAATCTTTCACTCCTGTGGAGACGCCACCACTTGCCAGTTGAAGACTGCAAATTTATAAGTATGCTAGGCATTCAGAGACAATGAGCAGTGAGGGATCTACTGCGACACGGAACCTCGATTTATACAGTCCGGTCACCATGTCCCGCATTGGATTCGAACCCACGACCTAAGGTTCAACTCCTTACACCGCAACTCCATAGCAAACGCGCCGATAACTTTTGCGCCACGGGGGCGGAAGAGACAGTGGAGTGGATTAATGTATTTCAAAACTCATCTATTAACATTAACGTAAAAACTCTATTTAGATATTGAACACAATAACAATGATTTGTTTTAGAATACACAAGCATTGGTGATTTTAAAAATACTTTGCATCTGAAAAAGCAAAACCTATGAAGCAGGCCAATGGAAAAATGTGATCAAGTAAACGTTTCATCCTGAAATTCATCTTAAGACGATATTAGAAATGGCAAGTAATAAATAAAGGTTAAAACATTATGCTTCTTTAGTTTTAATGTTTATTTAAGTTTGAAAACATGGAATATTTCCAAAACTTAAATAAATTCTAGAGCCATAGGTTCATAAATAGTTGTCAACGTCAACCTTAAAACGTTAAGGATTCACACATTTTTGTAGACAACAGTATATTTAAGAAATGAATTTAAATTCTGAGAATTCACGACGCTTCACGCCGGCATATTTCATGAAGCGCGTTGTAGTTCATGTACCTCATGAATTCTCAAAAATAAGATTCATATTTTATATTTACATTATTTTCTAATAGCTTGCCACATTTTTTTGTCATTCAACGATCATTTTTGGAGAAAAAAAAGTTTGCATTTTTTTTCAATCACATCACGATGGAAATATTCCTACTCATCCCATGGTAGTTCATGAGAACGTGAACTTTTTCTACTTTGCAGAGAATCTCGAGGGAAAATATTTGGAAATGTAAATAAATATATATCTTTTGATCCTCTGATTTAGCTTATTAAAAGGCATTATAAGATGTATTGATCTTCATTTTATTTTCACGTAAATATATGGTAATAAAGTGATGAAATAGACCTTAATTGCTAAAGACATGCCAGTGAAGCAAAGTCAGTAACGATCTTCTTGAAAGAACTATTAATTAGGTCACCTTGATATTATAGTATCACAATATCCGACAGTGTTTTTGATTTACATTACTTAATGATATCATGAAGTCGTTCAATTTTAAGTTTAGAGTACTAAGATGTATCCCCTAATAAGGACATAACTCGATTATGACTGGGGTATGGGTATCAAATTGATCATTAGAGTATCATCTCAAAGAGTAAAATGGCAAACAAGTGGAACTTATTTAAGAACAAAAGATTTTCCTTCTAGATTTTAGTTGGGATTTGTCTGTCTTTGGGTTAAGCAGATGCATTGATGATGCTAGTTATTTACATTCTCCTGCAATTTAGTCTACTTGTAACATCGCAAAAGAGCAAAGTTATCATCGGACTATTCATTGGTGATGAAACGTTACCATTTGGAATTCATCGTGCTGGACCAGCGATAGAGCTAGGGATTAAGAGACTGAATGAAACTGTTGGAGATAAACTTGACGTTGAAGTGATTCGGCATATTTCTGGATCTGAGTGTGTTCCAGAACTCATTGGGATTTTTGCAACAGCTGCAGCTAGGATGTACCATGAAGGAAAAATAAATGCAATTATTGGACCAAGTACGTATAAAACAGATATTGGACATCGTGTAAAAAAAATTTAAATGGACCTAAAGCATCAGCGATAATCTGATTTAGGCTCAATATACCTATTTATAATAATGTAATTTCAAATTATATAAATATTTCTCAGAATATGTGCGTGTGGCCATAATATTTGATATAGTAAGCTAGGACTTAAAATTACTATACGTATATTCGATGAGTATCTATTCATATTGATTACAGAATTGAACAGATATGCAACTCATATCTTTCTTCTAAACACATTGAATAGTTTTTTTCCGGAAATATCTCTAATTAGAAAGTGATTGATTGATTGTATGTTGTTTTACGTCCCGTTCGAGAATTTTCACTCATATAGAGACTTCACCATATACCGGTGAAAAGCTTCAAATTTGGACCTTTACTCGGCACTCAGGCCATTGAGCAGTGAGGGATCTTTATCGTGCCAACGCCTACTGTGACACGGGGTCTCGGTTGTTAAGGTCTCTTTCGAATGACCCGCAACTTTCACTTCAAAGTGCCGAGCGCTTTGCGAAGGAACAGTTGCTACCTATTTTCTTTTATCGACTTAGGTCAGTCGTGGCCGTGATTCGAACAGACGACATTCCGGTCACGGAGCGAGCGCTATACTGACAGAGCTACCGTGACGGTTATTAGACAGTGAGATTTTATATTGAGAATTGGAACACCTACTCATGAAAGAGATGTAGATAACTTTTGAGTTTTACTGTATCTAATAATATTTACATGTACTTATTAGGTTTTTAAATGATTCGGCATATTTCCAAATCTGAGTGTGCTCCAGAACTCATAGAGATTGTTGCATTTAGTGCAACAACATGGTACACTTTCCACCAAACTGCATCAGAAATTGTGTGTGGGGGTGAGGGTGGGGAGTTGTTTAAATGATATACAATAGCGTCTACAGCAAAACTCTATTCTTGAAACAGTAGGAATGCATTCCCAAACCCCGTAGTACAATGGGCCTACAAGAATTAATCACGATGATTGAATAAAACATATTTGAATTCAAAATTTTGGTGTCCCCAGAAACCGCAAAGGAATGGAGTCAATAAAACATGATCGTGCAGATATCCATATTTCGTCCTCAAACTGCAATTATAATCCATGTACCATCTTTGATTTTCATTCCTGCTTTCCTTTATCAGAGGAATGATAAATCCTAAAGAGGAAACATCAAATCTGTTTGAACAAATATATATTTCGCTAAGTTGTCAAAGCAAATACCAAGTTCTTCTGGAAAATTCAAAATCGATGTAATCTACTTTCTTCTAAGTGTATTTAATTTGTGCGAAGGAAGAACTTATTTGTCAACCCAAATATGTAGTTCGTCCGAACGAAAAACAAACTTGTCAGAATCATAACCTTATTTGTCTGTACATTTTTTCCAAAAAATTATATATATTTTTTTCTTTGCTTGTACGGCACCATACAACTGAATTATATTCCGTATTTATAAAAGTTATAGCTTTCATGGATTTCTGTTAAAATTTGTTAGATTCTAAAATAACAAAATGTATAACCTTGTAAAATTAAAAAAAAAAAATGAAAAAATAAATGTATTTGCTTACAAAATCATTAAAATAACCAAGAAATTTTCGAAATGCTGACTTTGATTGAAACTGTTGAAAGCCCTGATACATCATCTTATTTGTCGGTATCTTGCCTGTTTAAAAGTTGACCGTATTCAGAGCATGTTCTAGTGTACCGAATAAGTTCGAAACTTACACACCATATGCAGGTGATTGTAGAATTTTACTACATAAATTCATGTAAGAAGTGACCGATTGATAGTCGTGCCGTTTGTCAATAGTCTAATTGTTAGTGGGCAATAAACGTTTATAATCAGCAAAATATCAAAATATGAATCGGATGAAAGAGAAAGATTAAGATAACAGTTTTAATCAATATGCACTGTGACATGCCTATCGTGCGAATTTTATTAAGTGTTAAAAACTCAATAGGTGGAATCTGAAGATAACGACCAGAAATCGGGTTCAAATGTCCATCTGAACATTATATTGGGGAAGAGCAAACATGGAGCTTTTAAGAAGAGGTGGAATCAGGTGCCATGGAGGAGTAAGCATCCCTTGTCGATCGGTCACACCCGCTGTTGCTCATTTGAATGATCGGGCAAACGAAAAATCCGTAGACAATTCAGTGTGAAAATCATGACCTGACAATTTGTATAAAAACGTTAGTCAATATTCGACTTAACGATAGATTATATATACTAACAAGGTTATTGTGTCGACCATAAAATTTGCGAATTGCTGACAAAACGAGACTGTTGATATCCTTGTATTATCAATTTTTTGTCAATAGCTTGCTTTGTTTTAGAAATTGTTAATAAGTAGAAATGCTCTCGTGTATCGAATCAACTGGGAGACATAAACTCCATATGCAGGTGATAATGGTATATTGCTACATAAATAAGGGAAATGTACGATAAAATTGTAGAAGTCATCACGTTTATCATAATTTTTTGCTAGTTTGCCATTAGATAGTGTCTGTCTCTAATTAAATATCCAAATATGTATAATAGATTTAAACACATATATCATCTTTTATTACATTTTTATTGCATGTTCTTCCAACGTTCGTCAGAAAAACGCAAGAGAATTAAACGTTAAGAATCCAATCTTGTTATCAATCACCTTTTCTTTATATAAACTTTGTATCACTCAGTTGTGATGGAAGTCATATTTCAACGGGGGTCATTTTTTATAGGTTGCACATGTAGAGAATTGACCCCTAGGGTTCGTTTTCTACACAACTTACATTTCTCTACGGCTGTGTGGTACTTTTTCAACGTTTTCAACCTTGAAAAATGACTCTCGTTCATTATTTTACGGGTTTATTACTCGTCTTTACACCAGCAGTCCCGTGTCGCATTTCAACTAATGAATGTGTTACATTTCAATCTTCGTTTTGATATCCCTTTATTGGTAGGAGTTAATATTCTGCGTTCTTCTGCATGTTGCAGAGAAAACCAATTTTTAAAATCTTAAATATTTTCATCCTTAATACAGATCTTGATAAGGAATAAACAAGCAGATAGGCAACATGTTCTTGAATGTATTTACAAGCAATACTGAGATACTGGATAAGCATGACTGCAGTACTATGCTTAGCCGATTTCAATTTCAAAATTCAGTTACAGGAATTTCAAACCTGTTTTGAACAGAATGGCCTAGATTTCTTGTATAAATGTAAAAAAAAATTTAGGTATACCGATGTTTGAAGCAGACTACACTAGACAAAATTGCTAATGCACCATTCAGTATTTTAATCTGCCTCATCGACACGAGTAAATTTATATTGCCGTCTTGCCTACTGCAGTCAAATTTTTCGATGTCTTTATTTGAAAAAAAAACCCACAAAGGAGTGACCCTTTTGTGCTCTAATTTCCCAAAGCCGATTGTGCATCTATTCTCTCAAACGATATCAAGCAGATCTACTAACATGTCGCCTAGTAGTCACTTAAGCTTTGGCATCTGTACCGGCCGGGTTATCATGCTCACTTATTTTATTTTTATTCATATATATTAACAAAGAAAATATATTTATTCGTACAGATCTCTACTAATATTTATCAGTAAAAAAAACTGACTAAAGAGATTTCAGTTCTTACAGCTACATAAACAACGAAATAATTAATATTTCTAGCCTGCAGCGAACCAATGGAGTTCATAGGAAGAATGGCCTCTTACTGGAAAATCCCTGTATTTGGAGCAAGTGCAGCCTCAGAAGTATTAGACAACAAAGAAATCTACAACACAGTGACTAGAATGGCGTACAGTTTTGGTCATCTTGGTAACGTATACATAAATTTATTCGGACGTTTCAACTGGACTGATATAGCAATTCTCTATGATGCAGGAAAACGCCTTGTTCATACTGTTTACCATTTGAATTGGATCATAGCGAATCATGTAAACACACAGCTTATAGACGCCGGACTGACTTCTACCATTCTTAAGTTTTCCTCAGATAAACGACAAGGATACAAAGACATACTCATCGAAGCCAACAAAACCTCAAGGGGTATACATGGATCTGAATTTGATTATGTGTTCGATCAGTCGAGCAATGGAAAGAAAGAGACACACAAACTTTTTTTTTACTTTTTTTTTTTTACAGTTTTTATCATCACCAGTGACAGTGTGGCTCTCAGAAATTTGATGTTGATGGCACATTCAATGGGCATGACTGATGGAGATTACGTTTTCCTGTATTTCTATGCCTTTCATGGGTTTGTAACTGGGGATATTGCTTGGAACAAGAACGACGAAAACGACGAGGTTAATTTTATAATACTTACTAGTAAATCACAATCTGATTAAAATCAGATCCTTGATCCGCTCCTTTATTTTTTTATTGTCGCTACACAAAGCGACAATAAAAAAAAAAAAGGAGCGGATCAAGGATCTGATTTTAAGTAAATCATATATTTCTACATGTAACCACCCTAATTAATTTGGAATTCATTTTTGATATAGACAATAATTTTTACATACGTGTAAGTTGAAATTATAATAAAATCAAGGTATGCTTAAGAATTTCAAAGAAATTTTTATTTACTGCGGAATCATTTTAATTCGTTGGAGTCAATGTTCGTGAGTAATCGAAATTTTAGTTTCGTACATACGAGTGGACGCAATTTCGTTGGTTTTCGGTAATACTAAATTCAATTAATTGATAGTTGGAGAAGTCAAAGTTTGTGGATAATTTGTAAATCTGTTGGTAAAGTACCCCAGGAAAACCACGAACATTGGTACCCCACGAACAGTGATGATTCCTCAGTATCTTGACACATACATTTGGTTATGATTTGTTGAAATATCAGTTTTGTGAACAGAGTTAATATATTATTTATTATCAAAAATCATCGAATGGACACGTACTTAAAATTTTGTCGACGAGGGGTTTAAATTGCTGTAAGACTAACGTTTTGGGTCAGAGTAAACCTTTTTTTTTAATTAATTTTAAGCTCTTTGGTATATGTTTCTTAACAGTATGATTCATGCCGGTTGTCCTACATTTAGTTTAAGATTTTGGAACTTTTAAAATTATAACTTTAGATGAGAAGGAAAAAAATATGCATAAAATTGCCACAGGTATTTTTATCTTATAGATATAAGAGTACAATTAACGACTATGCTATTCTAAAATACCATTTAATGAAAACAACACAATATTTAAAAAAAAAAAGGGGGGGGGGTAATGTTATTTTCTATTAATTTGTTAATTTCAAGAATGCAAAACAGAAAAAAGGCAAGCATGTCTGTATCTAAGATGTAGTGTGTGTGCACCTAATTGTGTATCTGTCTGTCTGTCCATCTGTATGTATGAATGTATTTATTTCAAATGATTTCAGAATGTTAAGAAGGCTTACGAATCCTTGCTTGTCGTCAGTCTCTATAAATCAAGCAGTAGGAAATATAAGGAATTTGAAGTCAAGCTGAAAAACGAGTCTTTGGAGTTCTACAACTACACTTACAAAGAGCGGGAAGACGTGAGTGTTAAATCTAACCATTAAATTGATGAAGTAATCGTGATCTTCTAACTATAATAAGGTGAGAGATAAAGTGAAATAAATGTATATAATTATTAAAAGCTCATCCAAACTTTTATGGACATCTTTTTGTAGATGAGTGCCATTACATTTTTTAAGAAAAGTAAAGTACATTTGTTCTCAAATAATTATTATTCTCAATAATTAATATACAATTGTAATTGCAGATTGGTGCGCAAAAGCACTCTTGAATTTCAGAATGTTGTTGGTCTTTCCCAGTTAGTTTCACAAAAGAAGGCTGTTCAAATTAATAGGAACATTTAGAAACGATACTAATTTTGCATAAAACATTCCGCAGGATGATTTGTCAAATACCAGAAGGGACGGAAAGGTTTAACAGTTGATTTGTAACTTTCCAATTGCAAACTTCAAACAGACCTTTTTTTCAATATGTAAACTCACTTTTTGCCCTTACATTTACTTGTGCAAAACACTTTAATTCCCTCACAAAAAATACCCCATAGAGTAAAATTTGATTTGTATACAAAAAAATTAGATGGTAACAAACAAACATTTTTCATATCCGACTCCAGGTTTCACTTTTTTTCTCTTGTCAACCACTATTTGGTGTTTTCAAACTGCCATTATTGTCAAAATTGATAAATGGAGACGGGTGAATATTCAAAAAAAGGTTGACAGATTAACTACAGAACATATAGATATCGACATAATGAAGATATCTAAACTCAATAACTATATCTTGATGTTACTGATGTAATATTTTGTATATATATCCAATTTCAATCTTTGGAGTAGTTTTTTGATAAGGGACTTAAATCATTCTGCAAATGTTAACGTAAGGTAAAAATTAAATTTACGATATATTTATTTATAAGTAATTCTTTCTCTGTAAATTTTAATTTGAGGTATGTCCTCCTGACTCTGGTTATATTAAGGATTTTTCCAGAAGTATGAATTTAGTTATCTACATATAAAGCGTGACGCAAAATTTAAAAGAAAATTGGTGTGTGCTATTAACTGAGCAACAGTACTGAACAAATACATTTGACCATTTTGCAGTAAAATTGTACTTTTTATATCAAACACCCAAACCTCAGATAAAATGGCAATAAATATATTCTTATTTTATGTCACATGGTCTATTTAAAATATATTAACAAAATATCAATGAATGCGCATTATTTATTGTGTGACCTTTTTGCACAAATAGGATATCATATTTTGAGTATAAAACTGTAAACAATGTTATTTTCTTATATTAAGATTTATGTGTCTTTAGTGGTGATGGGTTTAGAAATATCGTGTTATTTTTTTTTAAATGAAATAAAATTCTGGTCCAAGTGATGTAAATTTTGATAAAATGGGCCAAATAAAGCACATTTCAGGCTGAGAACAAGTTTAATTTTGTCTGGATTTTTTTTTCTATTCAAGTGAATCAGCAATATTTGGAAAAATGTTATGAAAAATTTGTAAATTGTGTTCGTAAAATATCATTTGAAACCTGCATTGAATATTCCTGGCATGTAATAAGTTATCGTCAAAATGTCTGTGAGTAAAAAATGTAGGGCTAAAGTTTAAAGATATTGAAGAAAACAAATGTGTAAATTTTGATAATTTTCTTCTAAATATCCTTCCGCCACAAGAAACAGTCCACCATAAATCTTCTTTCTTATTGATTCTCCATATTTTTTTTTTTTTAGCAGTTTTTAAATTGAATATTTTATAAGTGTCATTGTTTATGTTGATCAAGTAACAAAAAATTAATTATAATTGATAATTCTGGAATATGAGGTTCTGCCGTAACTTTGCTCAAAAACAGAGGAGTGACATACCTTAAAGCACAATATTTCTTAATTAAACAGGGAAATGATAAGACTAACCGTGGAAAAAAACTTTCAAGTTTGGAATCAAATACATAGGACTGGGTAGTTATCTAGGCACAGTGTCAAAATGTTATTATCAGAACACTGCAAATCAGCTGAATTGTTCGAATGGCTTACTTGCTTTCATAATTTTGAAAAAAAATTCCCATAAATTTTTGATGTTCTACGTTGACGATCATCCTAATTTTACTGAGTTTATCATCTAATTAAGAGGAATCCACGATTACCAATTGAAATATATTTTATTCAAATTTTTTCATTTAAAGACATTGAATTGGATTAAATTTAATTGGCTTACACATAGATAAATCCTCATGTGATGGCGTTTTATAACTCCTTCCTCTTATATGGGGAAGCTCTAAAGGAGACAATTGAGGACGGAGACGATTATAGAGATAGCACTCAAATAAATAAACGAATCTGGAATAGAACCTTTGAAGGTAAGATGATTAAAAGAACAAAAAGGCCAGGAATGTTGATTTCGATATTTATCATCATTACCCGAAATCCTCTATGAAAATAAAAATAATAAGAAAAATATTAGCTAAAACGTATCGTAAAATTTAGAACTTTTAATCAAAGCAACATTTTTTTCAAAGAGATTGCATTCCAAATATACTAATATTAAAATATACTTTCACTTCTTATTTTCATATATATATATATATATATATATATATATATATATATATATATATATATATATATATATATATATATATATATATATATATATATATATATATATATATATATTAGGGATGTCAATTTTGTCAATAATTCATATTCGAATATTCAATGAAAGTATTCGAATATATTCGAATATTCGATAAAATTAATAAAATTTGTCTTATTTTAAATATGCATCATCCTACTCTCAGGAAAGGTTTAGCGTAGGAATACTTCACAGGCACTTGGGGTCTGGACCCCCCCCCCCTTTTCCGTTTTTTTTTTCTTTTTAAATATGGGGTCGAGTCACCTTTTTCCTATTTTTGTATTCTAATATGCACTATATGTTATCAATAATGTAACTCTTTTGTCTCTATATGCTGTTTTTAAATATACCGTTTTCGACTGATACATAAAAAGAGAGAAGGCTTGCAACTCTTTTCTCGTCGTCTGCCTCACCTCGCTTAAACTTCGCCTGACTATTTATCTAAAGCATAAGAACACATGGAATATGCATACATCAATAAATTTGTTACATATTCTTCCTTTTCATATTTCCATTTAATTTTTATGTGCCCCCGATTTGTAAATATTTCGATTAAATCAACCGCATCTAGGGTAAATTTTGTTGATGTGCATTAGCTGGGACGGAAGTGCAATAACGGTAACTCTAACTTTACAAATGTTCTGCATTAAAAAAAAAATCCAGGCTTTGAAATAAAAATATTGAGAAATTTGGTTGTCTAAGTCGTATGTTAAATGTTAATCTTCGTCCATTAGAATCTGCTAGTTAGAGCTATCTTGATATACACAAAACTTACCGTTACATATATTATGAAGAGAAAATTCGGGATTTTTTCCCTCTTTCATTTAAAGTTCCGAATGACATTACACTTAATGATGACGCCCGAAAATACCGGACACTTCCGTCCCAGCTAGTGCACATCAACAAAATTTACCCTAGATGCGGTTGATTTAATCGAAATATTTACAAATCGGGGGCACATAAAAATTAAATGGAAATATAAAAAGGAAGAAGAATGTGTAACAAATTTATTGATGTATGCATATTCCATGTGTTCTTATGCTTTAGATAAATAATCAGGCGAAGTTTAAGCGAGGTGAGGCAGACGACGTGAAAAGAGTTGCAAGCCTTCTCTCTTTTTATGTATCAGTCGAAAACGGTATATTTAAAAACAGCATATAGAGACAAAAGAGTTACATTATTGATAACATATAGTGCATATTAGAATACAAAAATAGGAAAAAGGTGACTCGACCCCATATTTAAAAAGAAAAAAAAATGGAAAAGGGGGGAGGGGGTCCAGACCCCAAGTGCCTGTGGAATACTTATATTGGAAGTAAAATTGTATGAAAACTTTTGTAGGTGTACAATAATAAATTCCATTTGATATTTTTTATTATATCAATATATATATTAATTATTCATTCAATGATCAATTAATTTATACTCTTCACGCCTTTGAGACATTCTAAGATTTCATTTTGTTGTCCTCGATTCAGATCCGATCGTATCTTACAAATAAAAAACTATAAAAGTACGTTTTGTTTTATACATAAAGCATTGTGATTGTACAATTCTTTAACACCTTACTCGAAACAAAATACATGCAATTTAGTAGATCTATAAGATAAGAAAGTAATGGAAGAAATCAGGCGATCGAATTTGATCGCTAGTAAATTAAACAGGGATAATTCAAGCACTGTTCTAATCAAAATTTATCAATCACAGTACTTTTTTTATGAAATCTGAAAAACACCGAATATTCGAATCTTAAATTCATATTCGAATATCAACTCATCGAATGAATATTCGAATGTTCGAATATTCGTTGCCATCCCTAATATATATATATATATATATATATATATATATATATATATATATATATATATATATATATATATATATATATATATATATATATATATATATATATATATATAAAATCAAACAACTTTCAAATATTGAACAGGTATCAATGGACAACTTCACATCGACGCCAAAGGCGATCTAGATGTGTACATGACCTTACTTGATTTAGATCCAGATACCGGAGACTTTATCGTAAGTGTTTGGTATAGTTTAAAACAGATGTATATGGAACCTCAACATGTGGATAAGAAATATTTCTATCACCTATGATGGTTATATCTCCCAGATTATTCGATACTCAAGAGCTAGCTTTGAGTACAATCAATTTCTAAACCGAGACAGGCTACAAGGATTTCAAAATACCGTCGTGAGGCCCTTGTTTTCATACTTAATTTAAGTAAGGATTACTCCGTTTACCTGATCAATTCATGGGGCTCATGGCGATGATTACTCCTCCTAGGCACCTGATCCTACCACTGAAATTAACAGAGGTCCGTTTTAAGCGCTGTTACCTTTCATCAAGACAAAGGGCTCACTGAGATCTGTCGACAGGGGATGCTTACTCCACCATTTCACCTGATCCCACCTCTGGTATTTCCAGGGATCTGCATTTTCTCTATGTTCAATTTGTATTGTTTTATTAGATTTAAGTTCGATCCCTGTTAGTTTTCCTCAGCATATGTTATTGAACTGGTATAGCCGACTTCCTTGAGTTTACTTTCATTATTGGTGGATGGGATTGTCGCTGTTTCTTACAGTTGATTTTCATCCTAAGTTGTTAAGAATGGTGTGGCTCACCTTTTTGAGTTTATCTTTATTGTAGATTGTTGGGAGTGGTACGGCTACCTTCTTTCAATTTACTAACTCCAATGTAATCCATTGGCCAAATAACAGAGGTCCACCAGCAAACAGTCCTCCTTGTGGCTTCCTGGGTGATGCACCAGAATGTTTCAACAGTGAAGGTAATACTGTAAAGAGAACAAGCATTCTGAGAGTATTGCATTAGCAATACTAGTCGCCTACTGGCAAGTGTAATCTGGTTCCCGTTAAAATTGAAGCGGAACGAAATGCAAACTTGATCTATAAAGTCACATACCAAAAATCAGCTCAATATCTGCAAGCGTTTAGGGAAAAAATGCGAAAACCCTTAAAAATTGAAAAGGTCCTTATTCCGTCAAAAATTAATGAAGCCGAACGAAATGCAAATTTGTTCTGTAACTCATGAAGATACACTTAAATACCAAAAATCAGCTCAATATCTGCAAGCGTTTAGGAAAAAAGTGCGGAAAACCAAATGGAACAGACAGACAGACAGACAGCTAGACAGACAGACAGACGCAGAGGAAACATATAGTCCCCTTCGGATTCACCGGTAGGGGACTGATAAAAGAAATCTTATGTGAGAAATACGATATTGTTAATATTTTGATTGAAGATTGAATAATTCATATGTAAATGAATTTTTAATACGGAGATACGAGTATATCAATTTATCTAAATGACCTTCAGTTGATCTTCTTGATCGATTTCGAAATATGGTAGCAATGCAAATGATACAGGGAGATAAGTAAGTTATTTTAAAGGAGGGATTTGCTATTGTCATGTTTGACAGAAAAAATAAGTTTCTTAATTGTAGTTTTATATAGGAGGGTCTCCAGAGCAAAAGTTACATGAATTTTGTGTAGTAGTTTTATTTCTGATAAGCAATTTCAAAATCGTAATTCTTGTTCCCTAACAAAGATTGTTTTATATTTGATTTTAACAAAATGAATATAGAAAAAAAATGCATAATTAGTGATAAATCTAGGGAAAAAAACAAAGTTCAAATTTGCAAATTTCTTTTCTTTGTAGAGAGCGTACTGGTTAGAGTTTTATCCGTAGTGTTTTCTGTCGTCATCCTGCTCTTCTGTGTCACCATGTTCATAGTTTACAGGTAAATTATCTCATGTTCGTACTATACAGGTAAATTATCTCTTGTTCAAACTTTACAGCCGTACAGGTAAACTATCTCTTGCTCGTATTATCTTCTGTTTGTAGAAAAACAGATCAAATTCCGTAGTTTACAGGTGAACTATCTCTTGTTCGTATTATATAGGAAAACTTGTATATCTTCTGTTCGCACAGTAGAGCTAAATTATCCTCTGTTCGTGGAATAAAGATCTTAGTCCATACTATACAGGGAAACTATCTTCTGTTCATAGTATACAGATGAATTGTCTCCTTTTCGTTGTATACATGTAAATTATCTTCGGTTTGTAGTAAACTGGTATATTCTCTTCTATTCTTCTAGTATACAGTAGTGTTTCTTCTGTTCTAGAATACAGAAAAAATATTTTCTGTGTGTTATTTCCTGTTTCTGATATCCATGTATATCATCTTCTGTTTTAAAATCCATGTGTAATCTCCACTTTTAGTATACATACAAATTTTTCTGCTGTATGTATTGACTATCCTTGTAAAATATCTTCTTTGATGATAACACATTAACAGTACTCATGCACAAAATTCCAATCAAGTAAAACAATTGGGAGGAGAGCAAACACGGACCATTGAAAGCATCAGAGAAGGGATCAGGCACCTTGGAGGAGTCAAATTCCCTTGTCGACCTGTCATACCCACCGTATGCCCCTTGTCCTGATCGAGTAAATGAAGAAATCTGTAGACAATTCGTTATGAAAACTATGGCCTAACAATTTGGATGAAATAGTCAGTCAATGTTTTACCAAACACCAGATTGTATTTGCAATCAAGGTCATTGTATCATCAATTTATTTGTCAGTAGCCTGTCTGGTTTTTCTGAAATTGTGCATATTATAGCTCTTGCGTATCGAATCAACATGAAGACATAAATGGCATATGCAGCAGATAATGGTATATTACTACATATATAAGGGAAGTTGATGATAAATAGAAAAGAGGTCATCAAATTTATCATAAAGTTTAGTTTTAGTATGCAATCAGTGTTTTTCTCCAGTAAAACATTCAAATATGAAACAGATATGCCAGACTCTATGATGTCTTTCATTTAGAGTTCAATGTGCTGTATCGAATCAACATATGAATTAAAATACTATTATTGTTAATCTATTAAGCGACATCAATATATCAAAATGTACAAATTAAAGGCAATTTTTCTTTTCCTGTAGTCCTTTTTGAATAAATTTTGCTTCATAAAAATGCAAAGAATAGGTCTGCTTATAATTGTGCATAATTAGCCCCACCCCACTCAACCATCCCCCACCTTGCGAATTTCAACTGATTTTTTTAAAAATAATAAAGTATTCTTGAGTGTATGAAACATATATATCATGTGAATGTCTAAAATTCACAATATGGTTGTCTTTGTTAAAATTTGATTAATATATCATGAGATGATTTACACATTATATGTAAGTAATGTTTTTTAAATAAATAAATACAGTAATGAATGTTTATCTATAAAATATAAATCATCTCACAATCCTTCTCATATCTATGGTTAATAGGTAAATCTTCATCTGTGTTTAGCACACTCTTACACGTAGATTATCCAATTTTAAAGTTCTCGGATTAATTAATTGACTTCGTTTTTCGCATTATTACATTTTGCATCGAGGTCAAATGTAATAATTTCAAAAGAGTTAGTTTTTATATTTTGCGTTATTACCTTCTGCGTTAATCTTGACGTAAAATGTAACAACGAAAAATCTAATAATCTCAGTTTATTACATTTTTCGTCGTTGTTATATTTAGTGTTGACGCATACCATAATGTTTAGCTACGACAGAGTATCTTAGACAGTTTTCAAATTTTTGGTAATCTATCATTTTAAATATGAATGACCATATCAAGAATCTAAACTACAAATCAATGATGGCTTTAGAAGTTGGAACTACATTTTTTTTCTTTACACTTGCACACCATTACAATTTTTGAGATCCATATCAATATTATATTAAATGAAGTATGTTTTCTTTAACAACTCTATAATATAAATGACATTTTCACAGAAAAATGAAGAGAGACTCTGAGTTGTTTAGTAATTGGTGGAAGATTCCTTGGGAGGACATCACACAGTCTTCGAATGTAAACACCAGATTCTCAAGCCTGTGTCTATCGGAAGCAAAAGTAAAATATTTTTTTTACACTCTGTAGGAGTTTTAAATGCATGTTCTCTGAAACTTTTTTTCATTATCTATGACATACGGCTAAATTGAAAACCTTTTTCCAAAGTAGAAAACTGGAACTGAATAAATTGTGTTTTGTACTTATCACATTGTATTTTATTCTTACTGAAAACTTAAAGTAAGGCTACTTTTCACTGTAAGCGTTACCACTGTGAAGAGTACAGTAAGCATGTTAAAATTTGGTAATTCACTTAAGGCCCTTTAAGTCACAAATAAGGGAAAAGTCTGTCTTGGAGCTCAATCAATTAAAAAATAACATGATTATAATGAGACAGATGATTTAATGATCAAGTATGCTTTATCATTTTTTCAGTTAAAAGGTTTATCAGATTGTGTGAGCATTTTGGATAAAGAAGAATTACGTATAGCATACTATAAGGTATGGTTTTTATTTTATTTTCTAAAACTAAAAACAATTGCTTGGTTTATAAGCCAAAACACCAACAATATGAGAACATGTTCATGCGCGTAAGTCCCTGGAACCAACGCAAACTTGGGGACACCTCTTTACGAAACATGCAGGGTTATATTTTATTGTAGTTGACATTACTTTCATTTTTGTCCACTGGTCATGAGTGGTAGGGCGTTCGCTTCATGATCGGTAGGCCCGGATTGGCGTAAAATCTAAGACTTCAACGTAGATAGTGACTGTTACTTTGCCTGGCATCCGGCGCTAGAAGCCTTCAGATGAGACCTCAAAAATCGAATTCCCGTGTCACGGTATAGGGGTCACTCAGCACGAAAAGAACCCTCACTACTAAATAGCTCTGAGTGCCGAGCATAGATCTTAATTTAAAGCCCTTCACAGGTATATGGTGATGTCTTTATATGAGTGAAAAATTTTCGAATGAGACGTTAAACATTATACAATCATTCAATTAATTTTTGTCCACGGATTTTGGGAGTACTCTTCATATGCGAGCTCCACCTGAGGCATGAGGCATTTTGAATCTCAAGTGAACATAAATGTATTTATATACATGTATAACAAAGACCTATGTTGTAGATGGGCTGCATAAATACATATATTTACATCCACTGAATATTTTCTCCTTTGTTTCTAAAGAAAACACTTGCCATTTATCAGTTCGTGAACAACACTAGGCATATCACCTGTACGGATTTCTTGATCAGTGGTTGTTCCATCAATTAAACGTACAATGACGTACATATCAATAGTACAATAATCAATCTTTTTAACCCTACTTTAAATGATTATTTATAAAGATATAAATATAAACAATAAATGTCTTTCTTGGGTTGTTAGTACGGAAATTAACGTCGCAGCTATTGCAGTGTTACGCTTACGCGGATTATGTATTTTTTCTGCAATAGCTGCGACATTAATTCCTGTACCAAAGAAAGCATTTTATTATATAGCTAATAAATAGTATATAATGAAAAACTACTAAAAGTCTAAAGAATTTTAGCGTTCAATATCTTGGCGTTTTATTGAACGCTGAGTTTGTATTACGTAAATGAGTATACCCGAAACATTCCAAATACGAGCGTTCAATATCGAAATGTAGATACAGATATCTTAATAGAAACACTTGATTTTGACTCATTATGTAACTTTCATTGGTCTTTTTTTCCTACAGGGAACCAAAGTTTCATTATCAAAATCAAAACGAAAACATTTTACAACGAATCGGAGAGTCTTTATGGAATTATTACAGGTATTTTTTTCCTCCTAAATGAAAAAAATGTTTATTTTAAGGATGTCATTTACTCAGGGTTTTAGTTGACAAATACGGATTCGTATAAAGTGCAATATCTTGCATCAATCTTGTTGTAGATTGACAAAATAACTACATTGTATGTAATAAATCAATATCCAAATTTATTTTAGATTTTATATTTCATTTTGTACGATTTGAAGAAAATATTTTAAGATCAAAGGTAGATTGGACAAAAATCAATAGTTTTTCATTTCATTTCTTTTCTTTCTTTTTTTTCTTACAATATTATTTTAAAAGTTGAGTTTCTTTGTGTTTTTAAATATCATTTTGCAAATATAATGTATGTTAGACTCAAGTGTTATTTCCGATAATTGGAATGACAAAAATCTAAAACAAAAACCATTCCAGACAAAATAGAAGAATTAAATAATTGATTGGGGCTATGAATCCGTGTGGGTTAGAGTTCCTTTCTTTAGATTATTGTAATATTAGACTAAAATTGGGTAGACTTTAGAAAATCCACAATGGACTCTGTTAATTAATTAGCAAGTTTATTGTACAATCTCTAATTGTTAAGTCATATTTATTAGCACTATCCTATTTTCATCATATTGCATTATCCAGATAGTTTTATTATTTATTTTCCTAATCAGACCTTTGGTGTTTATTCCAATTATCACGCAAGCCAATTGCTTGATCACATCATAAAAAAATAGACAGTTGTTCCTAAATTCAAATCAAATAGGTGATATCACCAAATCAAAAAGGTGATACCACCTATACGAATATGTGATATCACTTATTCTAGTTGAATGAGTGGTAATACTCTTTTGAATAGGTGAAGTCACCTTTTTGAAAGGTGATATGTGATATCATTATATAGCAATAAATACCAAAACGGCGCCTTATAGATTTGTTTTATTTATTCCTGTACCAATTAGGCAATATTTTATTTTAGCTTCGAGATGTAAATTGCCACAACCTGGCGAAATTCATCGGACTTACTGAGAGTGATTCAGGAGTATTTATAGTAACAGAATTCTGCTCACGTGGTGAACTAAGAGTAAGACCACACATTGTAGAAAAAGAGTTATTGAAAACTCTATCCACTGTACTAACGATTAGAAGTAATTTGTCCATTTGTTAAATTTTGTTTGAATTACAATAATCTATACTGTTTAGTTATGTAAGTTCCTTTGAAAATTTGCTATACTTAGATTTGCATCAATACAGTTTCTCTTAAAGTTAAATTGGGATGTTTTTATTGAATATTTAATTCACTAAACAATAATGTATCTTACTTACTGATAATAATAACTTAAAGGTACTTATTTTTCATGTTGAGTAAAATTTCGGATCAATCTAATTCTTCAGGAAAAAAATCCGTGACAATAAAAAGAATATCAAACAAGTTTATTATTGCCAAAAATATTTTCTATAAATTGTGATGTTGTACAGCAAGAATTAAAAGCTTATAGATATTGAATACGGTATTACAGAAGTGCAGATAGAAAATATTCAGATTAAAGAAAGACCATACCATAAACTTTTCTCTTTAGCTGATACATGGTACACACTTTATTAATGAATGGAGGTTCTCATGAAGTTATCATTGTGTGTATTGTCAAATTTTAATACTGAAATGAAAGCATAAGATTTTTCTGCTATGATGAAATTTTCTGAAAGAGACTTATAAGTCTGGCTTATGTTACCAAGATATGTAAAGAAAATATCTGACTTGCTACATGCTGTACACAAACAGAAAAAAACAACACATCTACTGCCAATATTTGATGACATTATTGAAACAAAAACATAATTACATTTTACTACTTAATGTTTGAAGCAAACATTGTAGTTGCCTACTAAGCTGATGATGACAGTTTCTGTGTTATATAATCTCTTATTTGCATTTTATTGTTTGTTAAAGAATCTTCATAAGTTTAAACTAGACTGAACATTTATCATACTGACATATAGGTACTTCATTTATGACACAAATTTGTAATTTTCCAGGATATCCTGAGCAACGAATCTTTCAAATTGAATGTGGAGTTCTGCATTTCTCTGATATGTGATATAATTCAGGTAATATATAATTATTCTTTTAATACATTGATAAATAAAACATATTGATTTTGATGAATGATTTACAGACAATCATGGAATCTGAAGAGACGTATAAAGATTATAAATATGTTGTATATTTATAAATTCTCCGTGTTGAATTTCGTTTATTAATATACATAATCTGATTGTCTTAATTATACTTATGTCAGATAAAAATATGTGAAGAAAATTAAGAAAAGAAATATTACTTTTTGCTTGCCGATGAAGATAATTTTATTTTTCATCAAGGCAATGGAGTATATTCATTCCTAAAATATGTGTAGAAAATTAAGAAAAGAAATATTACTTCATGCTTGCCGATGAAGATAATTTTATTTTTCATCAAGGCAATGGAGTATATTCATTCCTCTAGTATACGATTCCATGGTCACCTTAATAGCCAGAATTGCGTCATCGATAGTAGATTTGTTCTCAAAGTCACAGATTATGGGATTCGGTCCATCAGAGATTTCGATATTGACGATTGTCGTGAAGGTGAGGGTTGTAATATATATAACAAAACGGTACAAACTTTTACTATGCAATGTAATGTAAAGGACAAGGTATGGAAATTTCCGGATTTAGCCACTTTTTTAAAACATAAAAATCAGGGTTAAAATTCAGATAGCTTCGGACTTTGAAATGTAAATGATGCTTGCTTTATAGTAAGAATTTATTTTGATTCAAAGCATACACAGAAGCCAAAAGACGGTGATAAAGTAGAACATTTTACCAAATAACCTCAGTTCTGATGACAAATCCCGACTGCGACTGAGGTCGATAAAAAATAGGTAGCAACTGTTCCTTTGACAGGTGCTCGGCACTTTGAAATGAAAGTTTAGGGTCTTTTGGATGAAACCTTAAAAACCTAGGCATACGTTGGCACGACAAAGATTCCTCGCTGCTCATTGGCCCTGAGTGCTGAGTAAAAATCTAACTTTGTAGCCGTTCGCCGGTATTTGGTGACGTATATGAGTGAACAGTTCTCAAACGGGACGTAAAACAACATACAATCAATCAATCAATTCTGATGAAATTTCATTAAATTGGAGATATTTTTTATTTTGGAAAACATAGAGACAGACTTCCATGTTTGCTCTGCTCCCAAATTGTTGTTTAAATGGACTTTGAGATTGAATACTGTTCGTTATCTCCATATTTCATCTGACACTTGTGCATGAAGTGTTTGAATTTGGTAGATATGCAAGCTTGTTATTTGCGTTTTCTAAAACAAAATACTCTTCAAAATTAATGAAAATTCAAACAAAAAATGAGTAAATTAAAAAAAAAAACTGACAGATTTTTCGACCTTCTTGTGACCTCTTTATATCATCACTTAATATCAATACTCAATTTGTAACAGAGATGACAATATTTTCTTTTATTCTGAACAATTGTATCGTTCTGAGAGACACCCCCATACCAAGGTCAAAAGGAGTTTTAGTCTTTATTGTCCTTTCTCTTTTGAAAATGTTTAACAAACTCCAAAGGACGTTCCTGTACAATGTAAAGAAAAATATATATATAAGAGTGTATACTTGGCAATGATAAAAAAGTAGAGAGATTTCTTTGAAAAAAAAAATAGCGTCAAATCAGTGTAGAACAGAGACTTTTTTAAAGTAAGGCGTTCATATCAAATATAAAATTTTCTCTTAAAACACAATGAGACAAATCAATTTGAATTCCATTTTCGTAAAATCTTATTTTTAGAATGTCTATGGTTGGCCCCGGAGATGCTCCGAAAACATTCTTTAAAGAGAGAAATTTGGGAAATGCAGAGCGCTGACATATACAGCTTTGGTATAATACTGTATGAAATTCTGTCTCGGAAAGAACCGTTTGAGGATGATAAAGACTTTTTGACTTTGGAAGGTGTGTGTGTACATACATATTAACAAGTATAAATATAAACATATAATTGGGACGTATAATTTATGTTACTTAGACGTTACAATGCATTATTTCTCACTTTTCAATTTAATATCCTGAAAGTGAAGGCACTACTTTCTGCAGTTTTTAAAAAGCTTAATATCCTTCATAGATGATTTGTGATCTGTTTGAAAGACTGCAGCTAATAAAAAATCCTAATTGCAGAAATGTTTAGTCAAAAATACGTTATGCATACCTTCAAAGTTTATTTATTTATCTTGTGTTTTAAAAGGCTTGAAAATTTACCGATAGAGAGTGTTAAATCCTTGAACATAAATAATTTGCCTGAAGACACGTAGCAATGTGTTTAAAGTATTTGATCGTTTTAATATTTTCAAAAGATGTGCACCTAGCCGACAAAGAAATTCATAGACGGTCATTGAGAATTTTTAAAAAATGCTTTTATTGAACGTTTCTTAAAATAAAGTTACTATTTTCATGCTTTGTTTTCATAATTTTCTCCAAATCCATGATGTCAGGAAAAGTCAATAGAAAAAATAGAATTGAAGTTATACCGTTAAAATATTTTCATTATTGTATTCCTGGACAACATCGTATTTTTTGCTTTAATTTGACATACCGTTTTCAAACATATTCTATAGATTTATTTTTACTTTTAATGCATAAAATAAAGTTGTTCTAATTCAATTTTAGCATTATTTTGAACATGTCCTCTAAGTATATATTGGACTATATTAGGAATGATTCAAAACTGACAATTAATTTCCGTTTACTGTAAAACAAGTTTTATTGAAAAACCTGATCCCTCTAGTTCTTCAGTCACTGTAAGATTACATCAGGATGTAAGAAGATTAAAATTACAATGCTTCATTCAAGAAATATTAGAAAAGCTTAAAGACTTCGACGAAACACCATTTCGGCCGAGACTAGATATGGTGGAAATAGACAAAGACATGGAGATGTTAATGAAGAGGTGCTGGGACGAAGATCCTAAAGCGAGACCCACCTTCGCTGCCATTCGAAAGGATTCACGTAGATTACATTGGTAAAGCTGAAAAATTCATATAGACTACATTAGGAAATCTGATTTATTCATTTACTTACTAAAAAAAGTGAAATAATATACGTATCATGTGTTCGTCCTGGATTTGGTTACATTAAGACTTTCTTGAATAAACTAATTTCCTAATCACTGTAAGATAATAGTTAATTAGTTTCAAGTTTTTTTTATGCCACTGGTCCTGAATATCAAATACTTTCTACGTATTAATTCTAAGTCCTTCATTAGTCTCCAAATTTTCTTCTGAAGGAATAAATCTGGTGACAAGTTACTTGACACCCTTTTGTCTCGGATGGAGGAGTACGCAGATAACCTTGAGGGTTTGGTAGAGGAGAGGACCCAGAACTTGATAGAGGAGAAAATGAGATCTGAGGAGCTACTATACCAAGTTCTGCCGAGGTACCAAATTCAGATTGTCAAATTTTCATATTTGGAGAAATAAGAAATTCAATAGCATCAAAATATTTAAATATGTCCATCAAGCACTACATTTACAGGATTTGTCTATGGCCTGTCTATCCATGGTTTTCTAAATGATTTCAAATTCTTTATAATTCATTGACATAAAAAGCCAAGGAATACAATAAAATAAATTAATTTAACACCTCCTGGCAAAAAATGGTCTTCTTTGCTTCAAACTAAACATAAATGAAGTCAGTCTTTATAATCAGTAATCTCCCTCCTTTTATCTGTCATCCCTCAACATTCATTTTCTCTCTTTCTCTCACTCCTCCTTTTTTCTCTCTCTCACAGAAAAATAATGCCACAATGACAAGATTTATGTTCATTTCATATATTTTATGTTTGTATTATTATGTATTGTGTATTTCAATTAAAAAGATTGAAAATAAGGTTCTGTCGTTTTGAAATATCATATCGGATTGATAAAACAATAGTGCTCAACAGACTTAGCCTACTTCTCAATCTCAAGAAGTGTATATATCTGATTAAAATATTTAAAAAAAACTATAAAAATAATTTCATGCATTCTTCTTAAATGAATTGATGTCATTAATAGAAAACAGAGAATCCACTGACTGAATTATCTTATTTATTTCAAACTGTACGATACAATTTCTATGAATATGATAATTGTTAATGAAGGTTTACTAAACAATTATTCCAAATCATAAACCACCATGACACATGTATTTTTATTTGATAAAACAATAAAACTGACATGGAAGCTAACTTAATTATTTATTAGCTTTGAATTTGAATGTTCTGGTACTAAAGACTAAAAATGTTCTTAAAACTTCTTAAAACATTAAATTAAAAAGTGAAAAAAATAAACATTAAAAAAAATCTTTTAACATAATTACGATTGTTGTTCATTTTAGAAGCGTTGCCATTGAGCTTAAGAGTGGTCGAGTCGTAGATCCAGAAGCTTTTGCATGTGTGACCATATATTTCAGTGATATTGTTGGTTTTACCCAACTTTCGTCTGAGAGCACACCCATGCAGGTCACTGTAGCATAAATACAGAATTCTAGCTTGAATTTGTTCGATCATTTATTGAGAAAAATAATCTTATCCTTTACATGATACTTATTATTCACCGAAGAATAAATTTGAATAAATGAATATATAAGATTTTTTTTTACAAATCTAATGATGCTATAGGTAAATCATTTTTTTATATATAAAGTGTAAGATTACAAAAATGATTTACAACAACAATGATTTCTGAACATAGTTAATTTCTTCTGTAGGTAGTCGATCTGTTAAATGACCTGTATACCTGTTTTGACAGAATTATCGACAATTATGATGTTTACAAGGTAAGAATACATATTATAAACACAGTCAATTGTTTATGTGGTCAATATCTGAAACTGTTTTTACCTGTTAACTACGTAATTTCACATCATTCTTTATAAAAAGAAAATAGAGAATGAATGGAAAATATCATTTTGACAATGTTTCCGTAGATTTTCTTCCAAACTCTTTTTCCTTTTGTATTATTCATGCTTTAGGTTGAGACTATTGGCGATGCCTACATGGTTGTGTCTGGTCTGCCCCAGAGGAACGGTGACCAACATTCAATAGAAATAGCGAGAATGGCTTTATCTGTTTTAGAGAGCGTAAAAAATTTTAAAATCAGACACCGACCAGACATGCCTTTGCGCGCTCGGATTGGAATACATTCTGGTACACAGTTTTTTTTAAAATCACTCCTAGAAGCCAGATGTACTACATGTCATTTGAAATACATACCATAATAGAAAATTTCTTACTTTTGAAAGAATATGTATTTAAAGAATTTGTTTTTTTAAAATTTGGTTTTGATTTTGAATTTTTCCATCTATTTTTTGACATGAACGTTTGCTGTGGCTTTTAAAAACCCTTTCTTTAATATCTTTTTTTCAAATTAAATAAATTAAATAATAATTCAAATTTTACAAGTTTAAAGAACGGATAAAGTGATCTTTGGATCAACAGTAACTAGTTGTCAGATAAAAACTGTATATAATTGCTGTAACTCCAACAGGACCAGTCTGTGCTGGAGTGGTTGGTCGTAAAATGCCTCGATACTGTCTGTTTGGGGACACTGTCAACACGGCGTCACGAATGGAGTCAAACGGAGATGGTAGTATTAGTATCAACTTATAATCAACTTTGCTATTAATGTGAATAAAAGAAACAAAATTTTATTTTCTACGTCCGTTTGAAAGGCTATCACAATTGAAAAAAAAGTGACATTCTTTTTGTCTAGTGCATTCATATTCCAAATTCTGACAATTGAGATTTGCATAGTTATTAACTGATTCACTTTTTCGACAACGTTTTCTTGATAACGTGTTAATTAATCAAAGCGTTTAGAAAAGGGGAAATTCTATATAACAACTAATAGAAATATCTTTTATTTGCAAATTGAAAAATTACTGTTTAAATCTAATTTTGCGACCAATATCAGAAGACACATGTCATTTAATTATAAATAAGGTTTCAATTATGTAAAACTTATTAACTGACAAAATTTTAGTGCCATACAATTTTAGATTGTGAAGAACATAATAATTACCTTTGATATATACAAAATTGAAATTAAAATGTTTAATTTTGGAATTTTTTTAATAACAGCAATGAAAATACATATCAGCGAAAGCACAAGAAATTTATTGTACAGAAATCCCGAATTCTTTCTAGAAGATCGAGGGGAATTACAGATTAAGGCAAGGGTTTCCATCTTCATATCCACACATTAATTTTAATTAAATGTGAGGAAATAACTTCCAGATACAGAATAGTGTTTTTTAACATAGAATAAATAATATTTGTACTGTACGTATGTATAAATCTTATGAAATATTTTGAAATGTATGCAATCACACCTTGCATAAAGGTTACAAGAAGTTAGCGCAATCTTCAGAATAACACAATACGACAAAAAGTCTTCCTCATGGCTGCTTAGTTGGTAGAACACGAAGGTCGTGGGTTTGGGCCCCGGCCGTGACGAACCTAAGTCGAAAACAAAGAATAAGGAGCAGCCGTTCCTTTGCCAAGCCATCAGCGCATTGAAGTGAAAGTTGCGCGTCTTTCGGGTAAGACTTTAAAAACGAGACCCCATGTTACGACAGAAATTGGTACGACAAAGATGCCACAATGCTCCAATGGCCCTGAATGCCGAGTATAGGTCTAAATTTGAAGCCCTTTATCGGTATCTAACGTTGTGTCATTTGAGTGAACTAATCTTAAAAGGGGTGCAATAATACAATCTACCTTCTTCTGAAGTTCTTAAGATTCCGATACCAGTGCAAAGATTTTATGTTTATAGAAAAAATGCTAATTTGATTAACATAAAAACATTTCTTGGTGACTCAATAAATATAAATTTTCTCAACATACCATTTTCCCTGTAATTAGTAATGGTAAGCTGAAATAATACATGATTGTTAATATAAACAAATAAAACCTCTATGCTTACAATGCGTACATATCATTGTATTTCAGGGTAAAGGTATCATGAAGACGTATTGGCTGATACCTCCTACGTCACAACCAGGGATAATTTAAAGGCTCCTGGAATTATTGCGAATTATCGCATATAGTGTTGGAATAAAGACACCAGAAGACAACAGATGATGAAAAGACTATTGAAATACTTTTTTAATAAATGTTTTTATCAATTGTTGTTGCATGTTCTACATTGTGATATTTTAAGTTAATACATGTAACTTGTCTGTGACTGTAGCTTTTCGGGCTCTTAATTGTTGATTCGTAAAATCATAATCATAAAAATGAAACTAAATATTCCTAAAGAAAATACAAAGTTTTTCATTATATACATTGAAATGCTATAATTATATTTTTTTGCCCAGAGCATAATTAGGGTTAGGGTAATTGAAGTTTTCAGAAAAATTAAGCTCGTTTTAGCTTTTGAGAAGTGTATTGAAATAAATTATATTTTTATTCTATCGAGTTAATTCACTACAAACATACAACCAATGCTGGCTTTTAAGATTATCAAGATTAAAGAAGTCTTTGATATTTTTTCAAATTATCGAACCCGACATGTTTATATTTATTTTATGTACATATATCTACTATCATAACATTGAATAAATTGTTATGAACTCCTAAGCATCTCTATAATGAAACAATGCAGATGAAAATGGAATAAAATGCACATGTTAACCGAGTTTGCATAATTTGAAGACCCAAGACTGAAATACATCAATTAGGGTTGATTTTACCTTTAATCTTTTTAATGCGTTCTTCTAAAGTTCTTAGGACATTACCTGTCAGGGTTATAAAAATAAAATGACTAAGATAAAATTGGTCTTAGAACATGGTAAAACAAAGGAAATCTCTCATAAAATGATAAAGAACTATCAAGCATAGTCATAAATGACTTTTGATAGTTAATGAACACAGTACCAAACAACCTTTTTCATAATCAAAATTAATGCGAGGCTAAAGCAATAATAAAAGTGTTTAGAACAACTTTGAAGATTATTAATGAACAACTCATCCAATATCAACACTACAGATACGTTGTTATGACCCATTAATGTTGAGTCAATTTTTATGCTTCACAACAAAGGGTTTCTATTTTTAAACTTTATAGATAAAGCTTGTCTTTTTTAGATTTCTTTTTTTATTTCGTCTGTCTGTTTATCTGACCCTCTGTCTGTCTGTCCTACTCGGTTTATCTTAACTTTTGTAGATATTGAACTGAATTTTGTTATGTGAATGCATCTTGATAAGTGACAGATCACGTTTGCATTTCGTTCTGCTTCGATAGTTTTTGATAGAATTACACCCTTTTTCATTTTTAAGGAGAAAAAGATTACACATGCAAGTAGGGGACTAGATCTACTTATGCAATAATCTTAGAATGCTTACATTCCTAGTTAAATATTTCTAAGTTTTGAGTCCAATGTGAGTCAATCATTAAAGAATGTATTGATATCTGAATGATTTGACTTTCAGGCTGGTAGATCTGGACAGTGACCTTCGGATTCTAATTGAGTGCCAGAAGTAAAACATAAAACAGCTATCGTTAAGACACAGGCATGATAGTTTCATACACAAGTCAATAGAAAGTAAGACGCTTGATTGAAACTCAAGCTCAGAAAGACTACCGAAAGCTCGCATATATTATATAAAACTCCTATTTTAACGCCAAAATAAGACTGAAAGATGCCGCTTAACAAAAGTTTCACATTTAGACATGAAATTTTCCAAGCACATTGCTGCTATTTATTTTAGCTTCAATGTTAAATATTGAACGAATCTACGGGCTCGACGAATTCAAAGCTCTATCCAGATAAGTTTGTATTTGACGTTTATATATATTGAACAGCTTAAGACGGCTAACATTAAGTTGATTTTTTGATGTTGTGTTGTTGAATTCATCATCTGAAGTGTATGGCGATAGTGGACTTTCTTCGAAACAAATGAATTATGAAATTAAATGGCGCAAATAAAGCCAGCACTTCATAATCAGCATATGGATCAGTGTATATTAAGACTGATATGACTAATCATGAACCTGCACTCGCCAGAAGAGAATTTTTAATAAAATATTTGAAATACACTGCTATGTAAAAATTTGAACCCCCCCCCTCCTAGTAATCCCATCCTATTCCCGGGGTCTGAATTAAAAATCTGGGAATACACCAAGAGAGCATCATCGCACATTCATCAATGAACCATTTCCTTCGAAAAATCAAAACGTGGGGAAAAATCGAAAGAATGAACCTTCGTAACGCTGCTTTCTCGCCCCTTTTTAAATGCAGAATTTTTACCTTTTCAAATCAGAACATTGTTATATTATTGCTAAAGTCTTCAAGTATAGTCTGTATAGATACTCATAAAAGATTTTTTGGGGAAAGAGACTTTCAGTATACACATTATATCGATTAAATAAAATCGTATACTTCACTGTAAAATCCCGGTTTCGCCATTACAGCTATGTAGGTCATTGTATTATTTGAATGAGAAGGCGGAGCGTCTATCAAGCGTGCGATTAGTAGGAATACATTAATTCGTTAAATTATTTATACATTAAATACACAATGGAATTTGGAAACAGAACGTATAACGAAGGATACACTATTTTTCATACTTTAAAGAAACTTTAAAAAAAGAGAGGGAGAGAGATAATTAATCCATTTAAGCTTATTACATAATTAGAAATTTTTCATACATATATATAATTTTGCAAAATCCGAGTGCTACAACAAATACACGTAGGCGGTTGAATTATGATATAAATCTACACTCAGTGTATAAAAAATAGATAGTTAAGAAAGTGAAAATTTAAAACGTCAATTAAACGTCAGTTTATCGTCAGTATCATGGTGGATAAAGAAACATCAGTGTCAGTGTACTTTGTACAGTCCAAATAGCGGTTGTTTTTTTTTTTTAAAAAAATCCTATTTATTCATGCCAGAAAAGTTCATATGATCTTCCTCATTTAGGAATTCATTAATTGTCGAAATTCACTCCTGTACTTTTTGATTTTAACCAACTCTCTCCCTGTAGTAAGATAAATAATAAATCACTCCGAGGTATTTTTAACGCCCTTTTTCATTCGACTGATTTTTTTTTTTACTAATATCTACGTTGATCGTACATGTAAAAGGGTCATACAAATGCATGTTCTTGCTTTTAAACATTATGCTTTAAAAATACCTGCGAACATGGACTTTTTTTGACATGATCTAAAAAAAAAATAAATTGTGAAATTTTGTGCCGATGTAAAGAGTTATAGCATTTGCGTCAGAAGAAACCTGAAGCTTCCCTCTATTCAAATTAGGGGTGCTTTTTGTGCAAATGTATTCATCCAGTGACTTTTCATCCGATACACAGGTTTTTGAGCGCTCCGTACTTCAATTTCTTTCCCTTAAGGACTAAAGGTTTCTTCTATTGGAAGTATGCATTTGTGCACTTGTAACAAACAATTTATTTTTCTAAAGATATGATGAATCGGTGTTTTTCAAATAATGGACTATAAAATTAATGACAGTTTTAACTAAAAAAAAAAAAACCTTTCATATCTTCCAAGTCAATGAACGGAGCACTGATGTATATTTAGGAACAAGGGCAAATGTATAATATATACCCACAATAATTTAAATCTTAAAATTCTGTATTTATGAGACACAAGCAGTAAGTGCAAACTATATGCTACAGGACTTCAATATAAATTGATAGATACAGAAAAAAATCAAACAAAATCGACTGAAAATCTTAACGCATCTTAATCAAAAAAAAGTTTTCTCCCAGAATTTTAATTACCCATTTGAAAAATGATCTGACCATCGATAGCTTGCATACACTAGACACGATGTCGCATAGGTGTGCTCAAAGCGTGGAAGTGAATAGATTTGAGTCACGTGTTCAGTGATTTGTTATTCATGAGGTCAAAGACGGGTTGAAATTTGTAAACAAGGTGCCTTTACTATGGAGACAAGCACCCGTGATTTTGCACCTTTTTGGAAAATAACAAATGAGCGCAAGACAGTTTCAATTTCTTTCATGAATGTAAATGACTAGTATAACTCTTTACTTTGACCGTATTTACGACAACTTGAAACACCCATGCGCTCATATAAAAAATGGGCTTGCAAAATGGGGGTGTGGCCTAAAGTCTATGAGAAATCGATGTAAACAACATACCCCTGCTATATTAATCACATAAATACCTAATTACAGCGCAAGGAAGTAAAAATTGAAATTGAAATTAATAAACTACAATGTTTGATGGAAAGATTGAGGCAAAAATATGTAGAAAATCTTCAATTTAATTTTTTGTAAATTATAGGGGGGCCAGATTTGGACGTTTAAACGATTCATCCTTTCGGTGTTAAATCATATACTTTTCAATCGTCAACTTCCCTTACTTATGTAGCACTATACCCTTATCACCTGCTTATGGGTTTTTGTCTCCGAGTTGATTTGATGAGCAAGAGCATGCTCTACGTATGAACAATTTCTATTGACAAACAAGTTGATGAAACATGGATATCAACAGTCTCGTTTGAAGTCATCACTTTGCAAGTTTTATGGTCGATATAATGACCTTGTCATGAAATACAACCTCTCATTAAGCCAAATGCTGATTGGCGTTTTTCATACTAATTGTTAGGCCATTATTTACACACTGAATTCTCTAGGGATTTTTTCGTTTGTTTGGTTTTTTTATCATGACAATGAGCACACGGCGAGTGTGACCGTGGATGCTCATTCCTCCATGGTACCTGATCCCACCTCTTATGTTTTTGGGGTCCATGTTTGCTCTGCTCCTGTTTTATATTGTTTTAATGGACCTTGAGCTTGAATACTCTTCGTTATCTCCATATTTCATACTGAAAAGTTTTTGAAAACACTATTTATCATATACACAAATAAACTGTTATTCTGTTGCTTCTCTTTTATAAGTAAAACAACCTGAAGCAGACAAAAAAGCAAACATTAATCTAAAGACCAAGACCCATATCGATCATTGCCATGTTATTTTTGTGTTTACCTTAAGGAGGCTGGGGGGTCAACAAATTAACCATCAGATATAACTGAATTTTTTAGATATGATATCTTAAGCTGTGAACTATCATTTGGCAAAGAAAAATCTCATACATTTTAGTTTTAAAATTTGATCATTTTTGTATATCTTCATATGGAGCTCTTCTTCTAAAGGAGATCAATATAGTCTGAAAATGGCCACAACCACCCAACCCTCTTAAGTTTATTCTTTGAATTTGGAGAACATCAATCGTGTATATATCTATAAAGGTCCTGCATCTGATGTGATAAGGAAATTTTCTCATTAAATCTTAAACTTCAATATGCCAACAAAGGAATTGACGCGGTTAATATAAGTAATATTCTTAATCACAAAAGGGTCCAGTCTTGTATTCCACCATATTTCAAGTTAAAGACTACACCTTGTATTTCCTACAAATATACATCGACTATTGCTTCCAAACTTTTTAATTACAAGAAAACTTTACAGGGCCTGGATATCGAATATCTGAAACATAATCCTCCATCGTGTTCATGTTCTTCTTCGCCCTATAACTATAGTCCTGCTGGACACGTTATTACTGGTGACGTAAATATAGTTAATAATGAGGACCTTAGATCACTAATTTTAAAAGGTCCTAAATTTAGGGAACCCAGATCCTTCAACTGGCGTAAGAATTTCATAAATATCATGGATTCTGTAGAGGACTACGCCAGGCGATGGGCCAGACATGAAAAAGAAGACCTTGACACTTTGTCAGAATGGATTAAATGTATCAGATGTATGTTAAAATCGCGCATTAAAAAATTGAGAGGCAATATGAAAACCATCTATCCTTCTGTATTCAATAATCCAGAAGTGAAAAAAGAATTAGATAGATTACATGATCAGTACGTACTGGTCCCTGCTGACAAAGCAGGTAACAACATTGTCTTTGTTTGTAAGGCTCATTATATTAAATGTATTTTAGAGGAACTTGGATTTAATTCTACAAGTGGTAATCCAACTTATACTCATAGTTCCCTTTCTAAGGAAGAAATTCTTCAAAATCATATGTCAGTTTTGAATATTTTTTAATATTCCAAACAACCAAAATGAATTCGAATTACCATATTTATATTGGATTCCGAAACTTCATAAAAATCCTTACAAACAAAGATACATAGCGGGTTCCAGTAAATGTTCAACCAAGCCTCTATCTTTACTCCTCACTAAGATATTAACACTGGTGAAGGAGAAACTTCAAGAGTACTGTGCAACAATATATTCGAGAAGTGGTGTAAATCAGATGTGGATACTTAAAAATTCCAAGGAACTTTTGGAAAATTTGAAATCACAAGATTTTACCAAAATCAACAGCTTAAAAACTTACGACTTTTCAACTTTATACACAACCATTCCCCACGATAAATTAAAGTCCAGGCTTTTTGATATCATTGACAGCTGCTTTTTCAATAAAAATGGAACTCGTAAATATACTTACCTTGTCATTGGTCATTTGCAAAATTATTTTGTTAAAAAACATTCTGATTGTACACACAAGTACTCTGAAGTTGACATTAAAAAGATGCTTGAGTTTCTGATTGACAATATCTATGTGGTTTTTGGAGACCAGGTCTTCCAACAATCTATTGGAATTGCTATGGGTACCAATTGCGCCCCGTTATTAGCAGACCTTTTTTGTATTCATATGAAGCAGAATTTGTCCAAAATCTTGTACGTGAAAAGAAGAAAACACTTGCTGTGGCGTTCAACTCGACATTTAGATATATCGACGACGTATTGTCAATCAACAATGGCTATTTTCATTCTTATGTCGATACGATATATCCTGGTGAACTTGAGATAAAAGATACCACAGAGTCTGACACATCTGTTTCATATTTGGATATTTTACTTGAAAAAGACGTTAATGGTAATCTAACAACCAAGCTTTATGATAAACGTGATGACTTTAACTTTTCAATCGTCAACTTCCCTTACTTATGCAGCAATATACCTTCATCACCTGCATACGGGGTATATATCTCTCAGTTGATTCGATATGCAAGAGCATGCTCTACGTATGTACAATTTTTAAAACGAGGTAAATTATTGACAAATAAGTTGATGAAACAAGAATATCAGCTGTCTCGTTTAAAGTCATCATTTCGTAAGTTCTTTGGTCGATACAATGACCTTGTCAGCAAATACAATTTATCATTGAGTCAAATGCTGACTGACGTTTTTCATACTAATTGTTAGGCCATTATTTACACACTGAATTGTCGACAGATTTTTCCGTTATTTCCCGATCATGACAAGGAGCACACGGCGGGTGTGACCGGTCAGCAGGGGATGCTCACTCCTCCATGGCACCTGATCCCACCTCTGATGTTTGGAGGTCCGTGTTTGCTCTGCTCCTATTTTGTATTGTATAATGGACTTTTGAGCTTGAATACTGTTCGTTATCTCCATATATTTCATGATAGCACTTATTAACTATCAAATATAACCTTTCAATTTACAATAAAAATCTCGTCTAACATGCAATGATCCTGAGAATTAATCTAAGGTAAAACACCTTTCAAACACATGACTGTATAAACTTCAATAAAAGTTCTAATAATATCATAAAATAGATTATTGGCATTGTAAAACATTCCCGTAGCGTTAAAAATATTCTTGATGAAATACGAAGACAACGAGCAAAAGTATTTTGAAACAATATCGGAAGCAGAGCAAACAAGGACCTCTTAAAACATCAGAGGTGGGATCAGGTGCGAGAGTAAGCATCTCCTGTTGACCGGTCACACCTGCCACGTGTGCTCTTTTGTCATGATCGGGCAAACTGAAAAATCCGTACACAATTCAGTGTTTAAATAATGACATAACATTTAGTACGAGAAACGTCAGTTAGCATTCGACTTAATGATAATTGTATGTGCTGACAAGGTCATTGTATTGACCATAGAACTTGCGAAATGATGACTTCAAACGAAACTGCTGATATCCTTCTTTCATCAACTTGTTTGTCAATAGCTTGCCTTTATTTAGAAATTGTTTGTACGTGGAGCATGCTCTTGTGTATTGAATCAGCTTATGCAGGAGATAATGGTTATATTGCTACATAATTAAGGGAAGTTCAGGAAAGAAAAATTGAAGTCATCACGTTTATCATAAAGTTTTGTTGTTATATTACCATGAACGTCTTTTTCTAGAAAATATTCAAATATGAAACAGATGTGTCAGACTCTGTAGTATCTTTTATTTCAAGTTCACCTGAGCTGAAGTTCAAATAAAAAATTACTGTATTAAGTAATCTTTTCTGAATTCAAAATGAAAAAGTCAATTTAGTTGAATGATGAAAAAGATATTTTTGGTGACAATCCATTATGAAGAAGGCAGAGCGAGCTTTAATTTCATTTCACCTAGAATACACGCAAGTAAAACAATGTTAGCATTCAATAAATAGTTAAACTATGAAGAAGTTGCATACAATGAATTTTGCTATTTGTACAGAGTATGCATGGGTTCATAGAATTCATTAAGGATCTTTGTTTGAGATATAAAGAAACTACTCTAGAAAGATTGGAAATTTTTTTAGTAATCTATTGAAGTATGAAAATAATAGCAGTACACAACTACACACAGTACAAAATCAATTTATTCGTTTTCCAGAAAATCAATAAAAACTTAGGAGAGAGAGTCAAGCACAAGATATAGCCCATTTATAATGAAAAAAAAAAGTTTTACATTCTTGTAAATAATTAAACAGCTGTTTCAAATGCAATATCCATTTCTTTAAAAAGACAAGATACTCTGAGTGCAAAATTGAACATTTGTGATATCTGATTTACAAAATACTAGCTATCATTGTTATCATTCGATCTTTTAAGGACAACATAAAATTAACAAATTCCAGACATTCCGTTTATCCTTTAATGTTAACAAAATTTGCAAATATGAATAAATAACAACACATTTTAAAAAAATCATATAATATGGATAATTCAATTTTTTTTCACACGAAATCTTTTTCTTCCCTTTCCTGGCTTTGCATAAAAATATGCATAATATCATAATGCAAAATGGCTAAGGCAAACAATAAAATTGCACTCTGAGACAAATAATTTAACTTATATGGTAAATACTGACAAAACAATATTATCATTTTCTTAAGACCAAGAATTAATTAGTTTTTGATATTGACAGTGAAAAAATATCCCTCTGTCCATCAGATAACAATTAAGGACCAAAGCCTTCAAAGGCAAAGATAAGTCTACCTCTTAAATGTCTGGAATAGGTAAGCATTAATAGAATGAATAGAATAGAATAAAATATTGTGCATCCATCAATTTCTAAAATAATTCACTTAAATAATTTTTATCATTCCTTTTTTTTCCTAGAGGTCTTTTCAAATTCTTGCATTTTCACACATTTACTATCATGTTTTTTTACTGTCAGGTTTCATTTTTTTTCTCATTATTTTCATTGCAAAAACCAATGCAAGAATATACTTTAGCAAAACAATATCAAACAACAGCATACAACATGAGTCACAACACGATCCATATTTGGTATGATGATTAGAAGTGTGAAAAAAAAAAACCCAAAGTACATGTATAACCCAAGTTTACATTGTGATCTTCTTGTGACCCTGAGGTATACAGAATCTGATTCAAATTTTGGTCTTTATATAGGATAAAGAAATATCTTGCAAGGTGTCTTTTCAGTAAACTTCAATGGAAAATAAATTTTTTTTTATCAAACTTTGTCACGTGAATTTCGGAATGGTTCCTTTTATAAATACCTTAAAAATGTGCTTATATAGGATAATATACTGCCTATATCAAATACAAGGCAAAGAGTAAAATTAAACTGAGCTTCTGCTATTCAACAGCTACCATTCATGTAAAAGTTTGAATATTTAAAACCATTATTTTATTTCATTTTTTTAACAAAATTTAAAACCATTATTTTATTCAATATTAAAAAAAAAAAATTCTAACATCACCGAGTTACATATTTTCTGTTTCCTTTCCAAACTTTGTTTCACAACCTTGGATTTTAAATTATAATACATGTATCTAAATCATACATGGTCTAGTGTAGATCAACATATGACCAATATAAGATACAAGTGCATTAAAAAGCAGGCTAAAATCAACTTTAATAATTGTAAGTATTTCTAACTACGTATGAAAAACGTTCTTAAAACCTATCACAGGTTAATTCTGCAGGAATGTTTCGTCACTGAAGCTAAATCACATTAAAATATGCATGAAACTATGGAACATTTAAATATATAAAAAAGTTTCATAGGGAATTTTCTACTTAAATTATGATATATAAAAATGTTAAAATAAACAGTTAATGCTGGTATTGAACACATCCCATACCTGATTAAGTTGGTATCATTTTCTAAATGAAAGTACATTTATTAATAAACAATACGACTGGTATTTTATTCATGATATTCATTTCTTTTGAAGATTTTGTAATGGTTAGGTCAAATTGATACGTCCAAATAAATGATTTTCAAGAAATCCTAACAGTGAAGGTATGAATTTCAATTTCGATGACTAAAATTCTGTCTTATACAAAATCGATGACTTGTTTAAATTGATTTTGGAGGAGGATGGTCTTTGCTGTATTCAGGGGGATTAACTCCACCTGGCATGTCTGTAAATAAAGCAAACCATTTTATACAGAAAAAATGTACCTGGTAGTCAACTAGAGTAAAACTCATTTAGTACAAATACGAAATCATAGTGAATTTACCGATGTAGTAAAGTTTTTTTAGGATCCCAGTAACATTCTTAACAGTTCTTTGTAACATTTGACGATTATAACGAACTCTGATATAACAAATTTATGGATACAGCGAATTAATTTATGTCCCGTAGAGGTTAAAATGATGAAATTTACATCTTTTCTAATGAATTTTCAAAGATCTCAAAATTAAAAATATTGAACTGATTTTTATTTTTCGTTAAGTATTTAAGTACTCACCCTCTTAAAACTCTTGTTTTTGCTTCGAATCATAATTAATGCTGTTTTTAAAAACATCATCATTTAAAGTTCTTAACAGCAAACTATCATAATCATAATTGTATTTTGATTCTTACATAATTAACGGCCAAATTTGGCTTTTACCACTCCATGTCCTTTTCAAAAGGTCCACTCTTTTGATTTGCTTTGATAGTATGTTCTGATTGGTTAATTTTCAATAAGAGATACATACAGACAATGACACCCTAACTTTCCTAGATTCTGCTTACCCTGTCTGTTTCCTGGGTATGGAGGTGGCTTTGTTTCAAAGTGGTCTCTTGGCTGCTTAGCAACCTACAAAAAGAGAAATTAGATATCTTCTCTGGAAGCAAGTTCTCTTGGAGTCTTCATTATTCTTACAAATTCAGAAATGAAATTTATTCTGGAACTAAATGTAATTTTTATTTGCTTAAATCAATAAAAATGCAATCTGACCTTTCCTTAAGCATTTAATTTTACTTGTTTAGCAAAAAAATATCTATTTTACAAAATAAAAGCTAAGGCTTATGATTGCAATATAGTTACTGAGCTCTTCCTTTGAAAAATTCTATTAATACCTCAATAGAAGCCAAGTATCTGACCAATAAAATGAGTCTTTATCAGACTAATCTATGATATTAATTTTAACATGGTAACAATCCAAAAACTAATAATTAAATATTATTTTGAAACAAAATTAATTTATCAGCAATGGAGGCAGTGCCCTCTGATACAGTGACCCGTAAAGGACTGTAAGGAAGTTTCTTCATCAGACAAATCTGTAGAACAAATAAACATCCCAACCCAAGCCCTCATAGAGAACCCAAAATTATAATTTATAAACCAGAAACCCACAGCCTTTGATTTTGTGAGAACAAAATATGATCCTTTTCAGGCACAACATGGGACTAGTCAATTGTAAAAATGCCAATATTCCACTATAAACCATCCTCTAGCAACTGCATGGGAATCACAGATGTACTGAATAGTGATGTACAAACAGATCCACAGATAAGTTAAATCCTTTAGCTCTCTAGTTTGTTTTTAAAGGTGGGCCATAAAATATTATTTGAACTCACTACCACTAAGATTTAAGAAACATACATATAGAGGGTAACAACTCTTACATGTTTTTATACTACAGCAATAGTGCAATCATAACTTTATTGGGAAAATAATATAGTTTATCTTTAAACATGATTAATAAAATAAATAATTCCTGAAATCATTAAAGAGTATTTACTTGTAGTTCTTTCAAATTTAAAATTTCTCACCTTATTCTTACTGCCTAATATTTACTGTAGAGAGGATATAAATAATTAAAACATATTTCAGCTATGTTTTGTGGCCATGGTTACCTCTGAATATGGTGGGGGTAAAACACTGACAGATGTTTGTTCTTGGGCTGGTCTAGAATTAGAAACAGTTGCTGGAGTAGGCATAATGCCGAAGCCTGGGGTATTCCTGGCATTGGGGCGCCCTCTGTGGACGAAAGTGTCCCTTGGCATCATCAAGAGGCGCTGTCTGTGTTTGTAGTAACCACATCCTCCGAAACAGGACATCAGAATAAACAAAACAACAAACCTAGAACAAACAGGACATCAGAATAAACAAAACAACAAACCTAGAACAAACAGGAAATCAGAATAAACAAAACAACAAACCTAGAACAAACAGGAAATCAGAATAAACAAAACAATAAACCTAGAACAAACAGGAAATCAGAATAAACAAAACAACAACCTAGAACAAACAGGACATCAGAATAAACAAAACAACAAACCTAGAATAATTAGGAAATCAGAATAAACAAAACAACAAACCTAGAACAAACAGGAAATCAGAATAAACAAAACAACAAACCTAGAACAAACAGGACATCAGAATAAACAAGACAACAAACCTAGAAAAACAAACTTCAGAATGAAGAAAACAACAAACCTGCACAAAATTGTACATCAAAATAAACAAAATGACAAACCTAGAACAAACAGGACATCAGAATAAACAAAACAACAAACCTAGAACAAACAGGAAATCAGAATAAACAAAACAATAAACCTAGAACAAACAGGAAATCAGAATAAACAAAACAACAACCTAGAACAAACAGGACATCAGAATAAACAAAACAACAAACCTAGAATAATTAGGAAATCAGAATAAACAAAACAACAAACCTAGAACAAACAGGAAATCAGAATAAACAAAACAACAAACCTAGAACAAACAGGACATCAGAATAAACAAGACAACAAACCTAGAAAAACAAACTTCAGAATGAAGAAAACAACAAACCTGCACAAAATTGTACATCAAAATAAACAAAATGACAAACCTAGAACAATTAGGACATCAGAATAAACAAAACAACAAACCTAGAACAAACAGGACATCAGGATAAACAAAACAACAAACCTAGAACAATGAGGACATCAGAATACACAAGACAACAAACCAAGAACAATTAGGACATCAGAATAAACAAGACAACAAACCAAGAACAATTAGGACATCGGGAATAAACAAAACAACAAACCTAGAACAATTAGGATATAAAAATAAACAAGACAACAAACCTAGAACAATTACATGTAGGACATCAGAATGAACAAGACAACAAACCTAGAACAATCAAGACAAACAGAATAAACAAAACAACAAACCTAGAACAAACAGGACATCAGAATAAACAAGACAACAAACCTAGAACACTAAGAACAAATAAATAAAGAAGACAACAAACCTAGAACAATTAGGACAACTGAATAAACAAGATGACAAACCTAGAACAATCAAGACAACATGATAAACAAGACAATTAACCTAGAACAATCAAGACAACAGAATAAACAAGACAATTAACCTAGAACAATCAAGACAACATGATAAACAAGACAACAAACGTAGAACAAATAGGACATCAGAATAAACAAAACAACAAACCTAGAAAAAGCAGATTTCGGAATAAACAAGACAACAAACCTAGAACAATTACATGTAGGGCATCAGAATTTATAAGACAACAAACCTATTCAAAATTGAACATCAGAATAAACAACTGACAAACCTAGAAAGACAAGACATCAGAATAAACAGAACAACAAACCTAGAACAAACAGGACATCAGAATAAATAAGACAACAAACCTAGAACATTTAGGACATCAGAATAAACAAGGCAACAAACTTACACAACATTGTACATCAGAATAAACAACTGACAAACCTAGAAAGACAAGACATTAGAATAAACAAGAGGACAAACATTTATAGGAAACAAAAGTCAAAACTCAGTATATCACAACAATCCTACACAAAAAAATTATTTCTGTATGGTTAGGAAAATATTACATAGCCTCGAATTACATTCAATAAGCCAATAAGATTAGTAATTAGTTTTAAAGATCAATTTGAAATTTAACAAGTTCACACTGTTAAGCTATTAAAATTCACAGCTTCTTCAACAGAAATTTATTAAGATATATAGTTACACTGACATCTAAAGAAAAGGTAATTGTTTGAAAATTTTATTTTTAATTTCTTTTCTCAACAAACTCACCAAAAATACCAGAGATTCCAGAAGGAGATTCTATAGGTGTAGGAAATCGTCTCCTCATCATTGACACAGCACCGACCCTCACAACAGGACTCACAACTGAAGGGAGAAAGCATTCAAAATACTAACACAGAACAGTGTAACATGCTTATAGCAAATACCATTATCATGAATTACAGCGAAGTGATTTTCATTCCCCAGAGCTTTAAAATATACTGTGAACTTAACAGATATATGATCTACTTTTATAGCAAAGCAAAATTGTCCATCCTGGGGAATTCATTAAAAGCATGTTTTACTGTATCCTCCTTTGTTATAATATTAGGAACAACCATTTTTAACACATTATGCTATTATTAATTATATTATTTTTAAAAAAAACAGCAATTACTAAGCACATATGATGCAAAAAATATAATCGACATGATATTTTGCAAAACAGACCTATCCTGCACTTGGGAAATTATAAAAATAAATTATTGTAAAGCTAAATATGGAAGAAATTCCAAACAAGAGGCCCAGGGCAACAACACTCACCTGAGTCACTATGGCCCTGCTGTTCATACCTTTGTAATACTTTAATCACATACTGTGGCCCCATCTTACCACCAGGAGTCATGATTTGAACATATTTGAATCTACACTACCAGAGAATGTTTTCCAAATAAGAATTATTAATCATGGTCTTACTGTCCCTGAGAATTTAAGATGATTTTTCTTATATATTTCAGTGTAAAACTTTGATCCCTAATGTGGTCCACCTTACCCCAAGGGGTCATAATCTACTAATCATCTGATTTCTTCCAAGACTTCAGCTTCCCTTACAGAATAATTTAGAATCTAAACTTCCTCAGAAAGCCTTTATATAAAATTCCTTTTTACTAAACCCGTGATTCTTGAGAAGATTTTTACAGATTTCTTTTTATATACATGTACTTCAATGTCAAAGTTTGATCCTTTATTGTGGCCCCATCCTGTCCAAGGGTAAATAATTTGAATTTAGAATCTACACTTCCTCTGGAAGCTTCCACATATGTTTCACCTTATCTAGTCCAGTGGTTTTTGAGAAAAAGATTATCAAAATTTTTCTAATATATTTCCATGTAAAACTGTCATCCGTATTGTGACGCCACCCTACCCTCAGGGAACATGGTCAGAACAATTTAGAAAATACACTTTCTCAAGAAATTTCCACATAATTTCCACCTTTTCTAGCCCACTGGTTCTTGAGAAGATGATAAAAATTTTTCTTACATGTATATATTTCAATATAAAAATTTTATCCCTTATTGTGGCCCCACCCTTTCCCCTGGGTATATGATTTGAACAATCTAGAATCTACATTTATTCAGGAAGCTTTTACTTAATTTTCACCTTTTCTGGCCCATTGATTCTTGAGAATACAATCTTAATGGATTGATAAATATATCCCTGTTCTGCTACTTCATACTTACCAGACTAAAAATTAGTTGAATAAAAAAAAAAATTGTTATTTATATATAATTCACTCAAGACATGTCTTATACAAATTGTACTCACCTTTCCCCTGTTTTGGGACAAATAATACCTGAAACCTGAAAACAAAAAGCAATTGTTATGAAAATGTACATCTGTAATCATTTTTTCTGTTTTTAATTACATGGAAGTTATTAACAATTCAAATAAATTCAATTTAAATATATGTGTGTATGAACGTATGGAAAATTAAGCATTTAAAATCATGATGATCATTTCCTGAATACACTCTCAATTTACTCTTTATCTGTATCAAAATATTAAGTTTGTTGCTGTTAAGCTAAGATCTTTAGGGGTAAACATAAATTTAACTTAAAGCATTTGGAATCAGCTAGGCCAACATTTAAAAAAAAAACTTGATTGATGCACTCTGACTGACTTTTATCAAAGTTGGGTAGTTTTTTTTAAAATTATCTTAGTAATACATATTTATAATTGTCTTAAAAATCACAGCTTAAAAATTTCTTGACATTTGCTATTGCATTATTCATGTTATGCACAACACAGCTATAGACAGATTTAACATTTATTGTTTAAATAAAAACTGTCAATCTAAAGCATCTTAGAGAAATGAAAAAACCTTAACTTTAAAAATATATGATTTAAACAATTTATATTTTCTGCAAACAACAACAAAAAAATAAATAAATGCAACAGAATAGAATAATTAAAGTACTGGAAAAAAAATTATTGGTTTGGGGCAATTTTGATGGGTCTGCCGGGGCCATTCAAATTGTGAAAATTATTGTCATTTGTGGGAAAATTGGAAAAAAACTGGTTCCTTACTGAAGCAGAACTAAATTAATACAGTTGTACACAGAACTTAGTTCTAGTTTGTTTCGCTTTCACTTGTTGGCTATTAAGTATCATTGATTAATATTTTTTAGAAATATTTTGTGGTAGTAAATTGGGAAATTTACACTTTGCTTTTGAAAAAAAGGTACCTTTTTTGCATTGGGAACAGGGCTGTTCAACAGCCCCAATTATAGAGAATTGAGAGCCCTGTAAGAGCTCAATCTTATTGATAATCTATAATTCTGCTGTTAGATAAATGTACTTAGGAATTGTCATTCTCTTACACAAATTATACCAGTCTACTAATAGGTTTTTTTTCCAAACAGAAATATCACGTTTCATAATAGCAAGTTCAATGTATTCAGCAGATAATGGAAAACAGCAGGACATGTGTCTTTTCTTTCTTAAGATATCAAGAAAAAATTACTAAAAAAAAAAAGTTATAAACATGCACTGAAGCTTAATAGACTATTTTATTGATCTCTCTTGAAATGGCATTTTAAACATGATAAAAGAGAAATGAATGCCAAAACTCCCTTTTAAGCCAAGTGTATTGTAATGAATTAAAAAAAAAAATACACATATATGACATTTTAAGCCATTTAGATTACCATATACAATTGATACACTTGCTGCAAAATGCACAATTTTCTTGATGTACAAATGAGATCTTTTTACTTTGGAAGTTTGCTTAATTTAATTTTCTTGAATGTTGAAAAATTGTGAAATACAGCACATGGGCAGGTAAAAGATTTCCAGAGGAAGGGAAGTTTCAAAGCATATGTATAATCAAGACATTCTTAATCTGCAACCCCCCCCCCCCCTTCCTCTCTTTAAATCAACAACTGGAATGCTATACAGAAAAACTCGGTTATAACAAAGTCACTGGGACCTGTGAAATGACTTCACTATATCCGTAATTTGTATAAATAAAATTTATATACATTGTAGCTGGGTCCAAGAAAACTTCACTATATCCGCGAATTCGCAATATCCATGTTCATACTAAACGAGTTTTACTGTAATATGTACATTAATATCATGAGTACTATAAATAACTAAATAATATTGTTTAATATCAGCCATTAAGACAATAACTTCAGTATCAACTTTTTTACTTTTTCAATGAGATCCGAATTCAACAAAACAGTCATCAGTTTCCCTGTTAAAACTTACAAAGTCATTATTACAAACAACTCCAAATTAGGGGCCAAAAGAAAAATATAAAGAAAATTTGTTTTCCTGCAAATTTATACCCTGTAAAGTATTTTAAAGGATAAAATATATACATGTAAACACAAGTAACTATAAACTTTTAACTTAAGAATTAGTTACTGCACTACAATCTTTAAAAAATCAAACACATTAAGAAATGTGGTATTTTACATCAGATGATCCAAAATAATTCTTTAACAATTGAAGTCTGTATACAAGGGTATAAGCTAGTAAAAGTGCAGATTATTAATATATGAAATAATTTTCCTAGATGCAATATGGAATGAAAATCCTCCCCAATATGCACTTCATTAAATCCTTTTATACACAGAGACATAATTATATTAATATCTCTGCTTTACACCCTTCTTGAAATACTGAAGAAGTCATTTTGAATTTCTATATTTGACTAATATCTCAAACGTACAGTAATCTGAAAAACTGATGATTTCATGAGAGAGAGAGAGAGAGAGAGAGAGAGAGAGAGAAAGGGAGAATAGTAGGGTGTTTTACGGGTTGTCTTCAGAATTAATAGCACCACAAAGATGTTTTTAACAGTTAACATTTGGCATACCTCACTAAATAAGATCAACTGCACTAAAATGAAGCCATATATTTTTGAAAGTCCATCACAACTCCCCATTTCTCCATAAAAACTCTTCATTGCGTGTATTCCCAGCCTCAGCACCAAAATCAATTGTCTTTGTTTTCGATATTTCTTGCATTCCGAACCCGATAGAAATGTTGCAGAAAGCTCGAATTTCGATACTTACGCATTGCAAACGTAATATTTCCTATAAAACCCTTGTTTCAACTTTTGTACATATATAACTTAGAAATGTAAACTAAGATTCATCGTAATATGTGTGTATTGCTTGTTTACGGCATACCAGTCTATTATTACATATTCATAATTATAAAGACTGATATCATGTTTATAGTAACTGTAATACTATTGATTTTAAATAATTTTTACATGTATTTATTTTCTCTCAGCTCAGTAAGTGTAATTGCTATTCTCAAACAATATCAGACTACACAGCATCTATTAATTTTGAATTTTTTCGATTGTATGAATAAAAAAAACTTCAGCCATGATGGGAAAAATCATATCGTACGGATGGGAAATCGGAATGTTTTCCATAATCGATTATTGGAGTAATCGAATGCACAATAATCGACTAATAATCGATTGATTTCAAGTATTAAATTTGTTCATTTTTGAATGAAGAATAAATTAGTAAAAAAATTCTGGAGTGATTTCTAAAATACATTTTTGATATATTTTGTATCATTATATTCATTTATTATATTATTATTTAGGATTTAGTTAAATTCAAAGAAGAATGAATCCAAAATCTGGGAATAACTTCCTTTAAACTAATATTTTGATTACTCGATTATCAAAATTGAAATCGATTATCTATAATCAGTGGCCATTTCGATTAGATAATCGATTTAATCGATTAATCGGTACATCACTATCATATCGTTAAGAAAAATAAATAAATAAATATATAAATAAAGAGATATATATAAAACAAATAAATAAATAAATTTCATCAATAATAAGTCCTAAATTCCAAATATATTAGTGACTGCCAAAATAAATAATGAAAGCACCGTTTAATTCAATCAATTGCAAGCATTTCGGTACAAACGCACACTAATTTTATAGGGTTGACGTGAAAAAATAAGCCAGATCATTGGTACATATGTAGACACTACACACTATTGTTAAACTAAAATTCTCCCAACATTCAGCACGCATGCAATCAGTGCCTACATTGCACCTAATTTAAAAATGCAGAATTTCAACACCTTCAAATAATCTTTAGTGCCTTATATTTTTCTATTACATTGTATCATTAGTAAAATGTTAAGCTACTTTCAATGTTAAGTAAGGTTAAAAGCAGATCTAGACTTAAAAGTTGAGGAAGGTTTTTATTAGATATGGAATGAATATTTCATGCATAAATTAAAGGGATTAAAAAGGATTTGTGGTTTTTTGGAAACAAACGTTCAAGGGATCAAGCTAGGTCGTTTTATGATTCAAGACAGACAGCGCATAAGAGGATTCTGCAGGCAAAGTTTTATCAGAATTTTTGGGGGAAAATTCATAATATACACGTAGCTGTGGTTGCGCCAGCATAAAAATGGGACATATCCTTTGGATTATACTCTTAAATGAATGTTTTGCGCGCTTTGTGTTTGGATATTCGTTAACTGATGAGCAGAATTTACACACAGCTCTACTGACGGGGTATAACAAGGACCTGAGACCAGGCACAGACAGAAGTCACACACTGGTTATAAACGCCTCCTTTTATTTGTTATCTATCAACGAATTCGATCTAAACGCAGGGAAATTATCAGTCACTGGTTTCTTCCAAATAAGCTGGTTTGAAGAGAGATTTGAGTGGAATCCAGCCACTTACAACTACCTAGAAGCGACTGCAATTCCACAGAAAAAGCTATGGCTTCCAAATTTTATCAACACCAATCCTTATGAAGACATTCGAGGCCTTGGCAGTGACCTTCTTACTGTTGACGTGCAATACACTGGAAAATGTGACTCAGGTTTGCCATGCAAGCATATAAAGTAATATGTGATGCTGATGTCACTAAATTTCCTTTTGACACCCAGAAATGTCTTATGAAATTCTTCATTTTTGGGTATCAACCAAATGATGTAAGTGTGAATTTCGTGTCACCGCGTGTCGATTTGGACCTTTATTCCGAAAACGGAATATGGGATATCTTGGATACCGAAACGTACACACTGTTAAATATTCATTATGAATATGAAGATATTATTGTAAGTTTTCGTCTAAAAAGAAGAACAGCATACTACATAGTTAGCCTGGTATTGCCTATATCATCATTCTCTCTTTTGATGGGATTCGTTTTTCTTCTGCCAAACGAATCTGGTGAAAGATTGGGCTTTTCCACCACAGTTTTATTATCTATAGTAGTCTATCTGACGATTATCCAGGACATGCTGCCGGAAGCATCAGAACCGAACGTATCCATTCTAAGTTACATTTTGGTGACGTATGTGGTGAGCGGGGCCGTCGTTGTCGTCTTTGTTATCGTAAGTGCCCGGATACAAACATGTTCTTATGACAAACCGGTCCCTCAATGTCTAGCTCGCCTAGTGATATGTTTCAGAAAGAAAAGGACAGAAATTGACGTCGTGGAAAATCTGGAAACAAAATGTGAGACGCCTAAGGTTTATAAAGTCAGCTGGGCAGAAGTGAGAAGATTGTTTGATATGACTTGCTTCATCTTGTCAGCATTTCAATTTATAATCACGAGCGCAACTTTTTTCCCGATTGTGGCTGTATAGTGTTAGGACTGCTCATGCAAGACAATCTCAGGGGGTGCGTGATATGGAAGTAAAATGAAGACAGGAGCTAGCTTGGAGCCGCCTTGAGGCTCACCGATGGGCTCAGCTGTGAATATGCAGTATTTCTGACAGCTTATATTAATTCGAGCGTTTAACATTTAAAATGTTGAATTTATCAAGCTAAGAATGATATAATTTCAGCTGGTTGTGCTCCCGTAAGCTGTTGATCTGGCAGCTATAATTAAAGAACGAGGGTGCATTTAATTGGAATTCGGTAGGGATCTGAGCGAACTTGAAAAGTGAAAAATTCGTTTATCTGTTACATTGTAATTTAGCATACTTTTGATATATCGGGTTCTGTAAAATAGGAAAGGGGCTTTACCCGTTAGTTTGTTTTGATGCTAAAACAATACTTGAAATATGCATCTAGATGAGCCATTTGTCAAATGTTAAATATTTAAACACGTTTTTGTTTTCTTTTAAAATTTACTATTTCTGGGTCATCTCTCTACTGTTTTAAAATGTGATTTGTGTGTATTTTAATTTTGGGAAAAAAGTCATCATTTGTCAAAATGGAGAGAAGACCTAGATACCATAAAAATTGTCGTTTTAAATCCACATTATTTATGTATCGATGATACATTCAGCTCATTAATATCCAGTCCGAAAGATAGAGAAAAAAATTCGTATCCAGTCCAGAGCAAGGTGCTTAGGAATAGACAAGCTTTTGGTTCGATCCTCGCATTGACCTTTTTTTATACAATCAAGTCACTTGTCGGTCAAATATTATTTACTGATTTACTAAAGATAGGTAAATTTTAGTTCAGTTGCACAGAGAGCTAATTAAAGCAATTCTTCCAACCTATTGACACTTAAATGTAACTGTATTTAACTATATAATTTATCTTGTAGGTGTTTCAGTATTTTTTATGTGAAGTGTAGCTGTGTAAGGTATCGTTACTGTGAAGATCAGTGGACTTAAATATTACTTTGACTTAATGTAAATGTAACATTTTCCAATGTGCGTTATCTTTAGTCTGTCCAGCTGTGCTCAGTCGACCACATTATCTGTTTGACTTAACGTTTGAATTATAAATGTTTCCTACACTATTCTGCAGATCACACGCTTATAATACGCCCATCTTCTTTGAGTGTTAGGAAAAGAAAATTTACAGTAAATCAGAGGTCAAGAGATCAAAAATATTGGTACCAAAAAAGAGGCCCATTGGCCACATCGCTCACCTGAGCACTTCTGGGGAGGGTCATGATTTAAACAAACTGGAATCTACACTTACTGAAGATGCTTCCATATAATTATGTCTTTGACTAATGATGGATTTAGAAGATTTTCAAAGATTCCCCTACACATTTGCTCTTTTATTTTAGCTCCTCTTTACACCCGGGGACATGATTTTGACAAACTTGAATCTGCACTACCTGAAGATGCTTCTATATTAATACGACTTATCATGGCCTTGCTGTTCTTGAGAAGAAGATTTTTAATGATTTTTCATGTATACAGGTATTCCTATGTATAACTTCGATCCCTTGTTGTGGCCCCTCCCTACCCTGAGGGTTGAATCTGCACTACCTGGGGATGCTTCCAAATAGATACGACTAATCAAGGCTTTGCAGTTCTTGTAAATAAGAGTTTTAAAGATTTTCCTTCTGTATTCCTACGTAAAAATTTGATCGCCCGTTGTTGCCCCACTTACCCTCAAAGTCTTGATTTGAACAAACTTGAATCTACACTAACTGAGGATGCTTCCATACAAATATGACCAAACATGGCTTTGCTGTTTTTGAGAAGATTTTTTAAGATTCATGTGTTTCATTTGTATTCCTATGTAGCACTTTGATCGCCCAATGTGATCCCAAATCATCCCACCCTGACTCCGGGGGTCACAATTTGAATCTAAACTACCTAAGGGTGTTTCCACATTAGTTTGATCTTTTACTGGCCCATCGGTTCTTGAAAACCAGAATTTTAAAAGATGCCATTAATTTTTCTCTTATTCTTAATAATATTATTTCCCCTTGGAAAAAACCTGGCCCTTCCTTTGAACAAACTTGAATCCCCTTTACCCAAGGATATTTTGTGGCATATTTTGTTGAAATTGGCCCAACTGTTCTTAAGAAGAAGTTGAAAATATGAAGTTTACAGACAGACAGACGCCGGACAAAATGTAGTCGGAAAAGCTTCCTCAAGGTCATGAGGTCCAAAAATAGTCAATACATTTACCCAATATAAGAATTGCTGTAAGAAATACACATGTCTGAAATATGAAAGTCCATGCACCAAACGTTAAAAATTATGCCTAGCAAAGGCTAAAGTTTTTCAAATGTAGATCAAACTTCAAGGTCACTGGGTCAAAAATATTGGTACCCAATGAAATGTATTGTCACAAGGAATGCACAATCATACATGTCAATCACGTATACTGAAGCAGTTCCTTTAGAATGGAACGTTCTGAGCTTACATAATGACACGCCCATTAATGCTTCATTTGAATACTACGTGGCACTATCCGGATTCCATACATATTGGGTTTTTTTAATTGCCGAATGTTCTCGCAGAATTCAAGATATTTTTGTTGTTGAAATATTGAAAAAGAGCAATCAATTTAAGAAATCTAACTAAAGGTGTATGATCCGGATTGGGCCGTGTAGTTAATTCACTATCGCATCATCGTATCATCGAGGTTTGGATTGATAGTGCGATAACGCGATAATGCAATGACGATGAGGCGATGGTGCGATAGCGCAATGACATAACATGATGAAGCGATAGCGCAATGACGCCATAATCGTGATAGCGATGAAATGATAGTGCGAAGACGATGAAGCGATGTTTACTATCGCCCCATCGTGTTACCGCGACGATGCAATGCCGTTGAAGTGATGTTACTATCGCACCATCGTCATCGCATTGTCGCGCCATAGAATCATCGTCATCGCGTTGTCATTCCATCACTTCATCGTCATATTGGCATTATCGCGCAATCGACCCTTTAGTCGCTGTTCGATGGTGCAAAAGTGAACTATATCTGGTCCTATACGGAAGTTCTATGGTTCCTTAGATGAGCTTCTGTGGTTATTGAACTGAGCTTCTGTGGTTCATGAACTGAGCTTCTGTGGTTCATGAGCTGAGCTTCTGTGGTTCTGAAGCTGACTTTCTGTGGTTCTTGAGCTGAGCTTCTGTGGTTCTAAGAGCTCAAGTACTGCTTTGTACTCCTGTGTCTATTCTCTTTGTTTGCAAATGATCCAGTTACCCTTTACCAAAAATCAAAATTTTCAAATGCTGCAGTGCTAACAGTGATATATGCTTTAAAACAACTCCAGCATTATTGCAATAACTTTAATTAGTTTTGATGAAGCACTATCTGATATTGAAAAGTAAAATGAAAAAGAAGATGGGCGTGTTTGGTGTGTGATCTGCAGGAATAAGGCGTACGAAACATTTATAGTTTAAATGTCTACGATTTGGTCGGCTGACCACAGCTGGACACACTTTACAAAGTTACGCACATGGGAAAATGTTACATTTAGTTTGAAATACTTTGTCGAATTTAATTTATCAGTCCGCTTATCTTAATAATTATTACATGTAAAACTTAGTAACGCCTCACCTAAGTAATAAACACCTATAGGGTATAGTTAAATGCAATTACATGTATATATTAAAGTATCAGTAGGTTGGAAGAATTGCTTTCGCTTTCTGTGCAACAGAACCAGAATTTATCTATTTGAAAATAAATCAGTACATAAAATTAAACTGACAAAAGAATTGGTTGTTTGTACTAGAAAAAAAAAGTATTAACACTCCATGCGAGGATCGAACCCAAAATATTTCTTTTTCATTGCACTGGACGGGTTGCGCATACTACTGAGCTATCACCGCTCCATACACTTTACGGTTTTTAAAGCGACAATGAAGCACCGCATTTACACATTGGAATTTTTTTTGGAAAAAGTTCATTTTTTATTGTCTCTGGGTCTTCTCTCCATTTTTTACAAATATTTGTTAGTTTCTTTGAATTAAAATGTACACAAATAACGTTTCAAAACCATGGAGAGATGACCCAGAGGTAGCAAATTTTTAGAAAAACGTGTTTGAAAATGTAACATTTCGTACCAAATAACTCATCTAGCCAATTTGCAAGTTCTTTTTTAGCAAATCAAAATACAATATCGGGAAAATATTTCCATTTCCTATTTCACAGGAACCCGATATATCAAAAGAATGCTAAAATTTTGTGTGACAGATCAATGAAATTTTCACTTTTCAAGTGCGCCCAGATTCCTGCCGAATGCCAATCAAAAGCGCCCTCGTTCTTTAATATTTTAATTATGAACATGTAGAATTTCTAAATACACTAACTATGTACTGTATGTATTATTATGCACATGTATCTCAAACATGGTACAATGTAATGATATAAGATATAATGTGTTATAAAAAATAAATTAAAAGTTATCCAAAAATGATAGCAGTAAATATGACAATCATTAACATATGCAAATCACCATGCCTAATCAGTATACAATTAATAAAATCAGTTTGTATAAAAATGATGGAGGCACAAATTCTGTCCACTCGAAATTTATAATCACTTCCTGTGAGGAGCGTATTAGGACTTCACGGCAGCAAAGACGGACACCAAGAAAGTAATCAAGATCGCCACCACTCGGATGTAATGTCGTCTGACCCATCGTGCAATCGCCTGTTTTGTCCAATCATTGCCTACAAATTAGGGATGAATACCAACTTTAATGTAAAATATTTCATATGAGAAATGCATCAATAGCTTTTTTTCCCTTCAAGTACAATATTATTATATTCATCATTCTCTGGTCTAATAGAGAGAGAGAGAGAGAGCTTTAGATCCAAATTATTATACATGTAAATATAAATATATGTAAATAAAAAGTCTATGTGATTAAAACTTAAAACACATGCGCGCATATCCATGCATATTTTTAATTGCTTATTACCGTTTCAGTGTATATATGCGGTGGTAACCGTAAGTAATTAAATGGTACAATGTGGTGATTCTTGAAAAAGTGGCTTCGATTCACAACATTCCTTCCTTTCCATTTTACCAGGAGTCCGTGTTTTCTAAGGGGTGGATGAGTGGGTGAGGGGTCCAAGGTCATATTTTACTTTACAAAACTTTGAAAACTTTGAAAATATAAGTCCTGCCCCCTTACCCCGGCTAGGTCTGCGCATGAACCTAGGCTAACATATTTATTGTATATTCACCGACAATACATGTACGAAGCGTATTTGAAATGTACAGATACTGTATATGCACTGACGTTCGTGTGACGTGAATATGAATACATATTATACAATTATTGCTGTTTTTTTAAGGTCAGTACGATGATTTAGACACCTGATGAGTACAATATTCACCTAGCCCGAAGGTATTTCGAAGGTGTCTAAATCATCGTATTGACCGCAAAAAACAGCAATAACTGTTTTATTAATATGATTATCTATTTTTGGTCCAATGTAGAATAAATAATTCCTTATATTGACCTGGAAATAATTCCTTATATTGACCTGGAAGGTCACGTGCAGGTCAATATATAGAGAATATTACATACTAAAATTCATAACATATGTCATATCAGCCCGAGTGGCCCCATATCAGCCCGAGGGCTGATACGGGGCCCGAGGGCTGATATGACATATGATATGGATTTCAGCATGTAGTATTCTATTTATCATATATTTAAAATACTTAATAAGCGAGTTCATAAAATCATTGAAGAATATTTCGTGCGTGTTTATGACCTTTTCCTTTAAAATCTAATAAAGCAAATTTTAGGTCTTTGAAAACAAATTAAGTCCACAGATGTTGGTAAAGAATTATTTTACATGTATATTTAAATAAAATCAAGTTAATTAACTTTTAAACTTTAAACAAACGTTACTTCCGGTTTGATATGGATTTTTGCCCGCCGGTCCGATACGTGATATGGATTTTCGGACCGGTCCTTGATATGGGGTATTGTGACGTCATCCGTATCGCACAGCGCAGAATCGGTGTATTTATTACTAAGTATATGATAAAACGTAGTATTTTTCTAACATTGTTGGATCTCAGCCAATCAGAGAGATGGGAATTATTCAATCATATAATAAATCTGTATAGTCAGTGGTTCTGGAAGTCAATGTTACTGATGAATTTGCAATACCTTTCTTTGTGATGACGTCTTTCTCCAATAAAATTTTGATCTCTGGGCCCATGACAATAGCTGTGTAGATGACCGAGAAGACGCATGAACCGACCGGGACCAACCAGAGTGTCCGGACAGGCGAGGAGGAACTTAAATAGTAGACAGCACCGGAACTCATAGCCATGCACAGAGACAGAATGGGCTGTCAAATATAGATATTAATTTTAGCAATTAATTAGGTATTATTCTGATCAATTCATTAATGACGATAAATAATTAAATATACAACATTAAAGACCCATGGAAACAGTTGCACTTCACTTGCCAATTTAAAACGTCAAAAAATGTTCTCCCCCCCCCCCCCCCCCCCCAGATTAACGCAAGTTTGGAACATTTTGGCGATTTTATGGAATTTCAGGGTTTTTCCTAAATTAATTTGTCTGTTTTTCCCCTTAAAGTCACTAATTTTTAGACGTGTGGATAATACAGTTTTTATCACGTCAACTTTGAGACGATATGCTTGACCTAACTATATATATAGACGCCATTATGAACTCTGTAAAGAAATACAGGGCACAAACAATAATGATGAAGCTTCTAAAAACCTTATCCCTTAACAAACTTCTTACATTGTAAAGGCGATATAAACTACTAGTCATTTCATTGAGATTGAAAAACGTGAAGCATCTATGGAACGCCAAATTAACATATATTCAAATATTTGTACCTATCTTCAAATAATTGTACCTATCTTCAAATGAATTGAAGATAGGTACAATTGAATTAAAGATAGATACAATTGAATTGAAGATAGGTGTAAATAATTATACCTATCTCTAAATAATTATACCTAGGTACAAATAAATTATACCTATCTTTAATGGAATTACACCTATCTTCAATTCAGTTAAAGATAGGTTCAATTGAATTATACCTATCTCTAATTCATTTGAAGATAGGTATAATTGATTAAAAGATAGGTACAATTGATTTGAAGATAGGTACAATTGATTTGAAGATAGGTACAATTAGAACATATCCACAAAGGATTTGAAGATAGGTACAATTCAATTATACATATGTTCAATTCGTTTTGTGTTATTGAAAATAATGAACGCTCCCTAGGAGACAATATTGAACATGGAGGGAAACGCACAGAGCATACAGAGCGACGGCAACGAGGATGAAAGGAGAAATAAAGGTATGTTAAAATGTGCAAAAGGATTATATACTTATTAAAATACACATGTATGTCAATAAGTGAGCGAAAAAATATATATGCTCGAGTACCCCGAAAGTGTCGGAGATCGGTAGACGTAACGGAAATGACGTATAATGAAGGGAGTAGTTATTATTGCCAATATCTTAGTAATTAAAGATAGGTTCAATTCAATTGTACCTATCTTTAAATCAATTATACCTATCTTCAATTCATTGCATTTGTACCTATCTTCAAATCAATTGTACCTATCTTCAAATGAATTAAAGATAGGTATAATTGAATTATACCTATCTCTAATTCATTTGAAGATAGGTACAATTGATTTAAAGATAGGTACAATTCATTTGAAGATAGGTACAATTCATTTGAAGATAGGTACAATTATTTGAAGATAGGTACAAATATTTGAATATATGTTAATTTGGCGTTCCATAAGCATCTATAGTAGTCACGAATCCAGAGTTATTTAAAAGGGGACCAAACAGGCCGGGGTCATGAGGATCCAGAATTAATAAAACCCTTATTGGTCTACGGAGAAGTCCCCAAGGCCTTTTAAGAACAGATTTGTCAGCTATTTTAGATACATGTATTATATATGTACTTTATATACATTAAAATTTAAAAGCAATATACATGCATTCAATGACAAAAAATTGATTTATCTTTATACTAAGTTTTTGGTCACAAAAAGGGGATCAGGCCTAGAGACCATAAACTGAGAACAGACTTTAAAAGTCAAAATTTTGATTTTGAATATCTTGAGTTTTATTCAACATACATACTTAAAAAATTGCAGGTTTGTATAATATTCCAGTGTATACTGACATGTGCTTAAAATTTTGTTCCATTATCAAAATTATTTCAAAAGTTATATTGATTTGAAATTTTTACTTAAGTGTGTTCTCGGTTTATGGTCTTGGGGCCGGGTCACAACCCCCTTTAAGTCCGCCAAGTGTTACTAAATAGGAACTCATTAGATTATATATAAGGAGTAATGACTCTCTGCTTTAAATGTCACCAAAAAAAAAAAAAAACAACAAAACAACAACAAAAACATTCATTTCCATCACAACAAATTGCATTAGACTCAAAATATATAGCGCAAAGAATGGGTAAGTCAATAATTCAATAATTGTATAAATTGTATAGAGCTTAAATGACTAGTACACGTCTATATCATTATTAAATTATATAAATTATTTGGTCTTTATCAGAAATCACTTTATGCAAAGATGGTAATTTTCATCCAAAACTGAGCTATAATATGTAAACATATCTCCTTAAGGGGAGGTTATAGGGTGGTTGCAAGCATATATAGTTGCACTGTAGAAGTTGTATATATACATGTAGGACTCCAATGTGCGATGGGACTCCAAAGTCCGATGGTCTGCGCCAAACCCCGATGGTTTGACACGCCAAAGTCCGATGGTGCGGAAAAACAATTGACGTTTGTGGCGTCATAGTACTACTGCGCCAAACTGCAATGCCGCGCAATGCCAAGGTCTTAAAAATAAGTATAAATAAATATCATTATGCGAAAACTAACCCTAATCTCTCGGATAGGTGCGAAACTAACCCTAATCGCTCGAAAAGTGTGTAACAACTATAACCTAGATAACTTGGGTGGATGCGAGACTAACCCTAACACTCGACTAGGGTGCGAGGACAAACCCTAAATCTCTCGGGTTGGTGCGAAGCAAGGACTAACCCTAATCAGTCGAGTGGTGTGCGAGGACTAACCCTAATATCTGCTGGGTGCAAGCAATAAGCAAAATCAGTAAAATTGTATGCGAGGACGAATACTGAACTGATGGCTTTTGAATGCAGGACAACGGCGTCAAGGATTGAAGTCGGAATATTGTGACGTCATAAACGTTGATTGTTTCTCCGCACCATCGGACTTTGGCGTGTCAGACTATCGCACTTTAGCGCAGCGCGTCTCATAGGAAACGAGCCATCGGACTTTGGCGTGACCATCGGACTTTGGCGTCCGTACCGACATCAAACCATCGGGGTTTGGCGAGACCATCGGACTTTGGAGTCACCATCGGACTTTGGAGTCTTACATATACAGTTAAGTTGAAAATTTACTAAATAATATCTGATTATAATAATGACTTTTTGCTTTAATATAATCTGTTAATCAAAGTAAAATACTTTAATATATTTATATTTTAGACCTCATATTTATTTTTTAAATAATACTTTCAGTTTTGACTTACTATAAATATTGCCCCCCTTTTGAAGCTGGTGGCCCATTGTTCCCAGAGAGAATGTATAGGCAGATCGACTCGGCTTGGGGCCTCAACCACAGCCACGTAAAGGCTACAACCGGCAAAAATCCCCGCGAACATGCACGTGAGGACTTGCAAACTCTCAACTGGAGATATTCCCAGCTTGATTACGTTTTCCAAAAGGTCCATTTTCTTGCACGGTGAAAAGAGGACGCGAGCAGATGTAAATAAAAATCTAAATTTAGATATGTTAATGATGAGGCGCAAAGAGGGGTGCAAATGAGGAGCAAATGAGATCCTACATTATGATATAGAATAAGAAATTACAAATGGAGTTAATTCCTTATAGGTACATATGCCATGTTTCTCTTTTGGTATTTAATGTCAAGGTAAAAGCAAATATGAACAGTGGGTCACGAATAGAATAGCTTTTAGGCTTCACAAATTCCGGATTGTTACATATTCATTGAGTTTGGTTTCAATTTTATCGAGAGAGAAGCGTTTCCTACGTGAGATTGATTAGTAAAATAAAAATTTGTGGGGATGATGTATTTATATCTCTGAAATGGAAGGCAGAAGCTTTCAAAATCCTTTTAAAGATTGGACTTTAGATCAAAATGACACAGAAAATGTAGAAGGCTAAAGTAGACATACAAGGGGTATGCACAAACTTTATTTGTTCACAGGAGTTCGCAATTTTATCAATAAAGTCAATAAAAATCACTCGATTGACCAAGCCATGAGCTATGCGTTAGCAACGCATTGCTCATGGCTTGGTCAATCGAGTGTTTCTATTGACCTTATTGATAAAATTGCGAACTCCTGTGATTTGTTGATATGCACAACCGGGGAACCTTTAACCACAGGAGTCGGTAATTTTATCAATAAAGTGAAAATAAATGATAAATAGAGAATAATACATGGCAAAATCTGTATCACACCCCATATCAACCCGAGACTCCAATATCAGCCCGAGGGCCGAAGGCCAGAGGGCTGATATTGGTCGAGGGTTGATATGGGGTGTGATACAGATTTTGTCATGTATTGTTGTTTTTATTATATATTTGAAAATAGTGTCTAAAAATCTTACATAAACTTGTAAATTAATTACCATTTTTTAAATAATCGAATGTGTTCTGTTTTTGTTGAATTTCCGTTTCTCATTTTTTTCCCAAAGGCAATGCATTCAGCGATAAGAAATGAAATAATTATAAATTAAACAAATAATTATTTTGAATAGCATAAGATATCTGATGAAGTAAAATTACAATTTAAATAAACTTCATTAACAAATAGAAAAAGTTCCGAGGTACTCCGAATGAAAAATACAGAGATGTTCCGGAAAGGTGTAATAAAGGGTGTGATAAAGGGTAAAATAAAGGGTGCTGATACAGGGTGTGTAATACAGGGCGCGTGCCTGTGTTCATATCAGGGATGCAAAAATCCTGTATTATATAACAAATATATAATAAACAGACATAAATCCCACCAGTGAGCTTCGCGAGCATAGCCTATAAGGCTATATACTAAGTATATAGGTCCCTGAATGTACACAACATGTATTGAATAAATTTTTATTACAAAGGGCTAAAAATTATTCTCAGTTTCTGTATCAAAATGAAATACTAATTTAAAAAAAGATCAGGGACTTCGATTTGGGGATCAAAAAGGCCCCCCAAAATCACACATGTACTCATCAGACCTGCAGAAGTTAGGTATTCCCCTTTTCAAGTTCTTCCTTGTAATCTTGACGTAATTACCCAAGCGTACTGTTATATAATTTACTGCCGGATAAAGTTAAGGTTTTTACCATGCAAGATTAATGTGGCCAAATCCATTATGTGCTTTAAGGAACAGTGATGATTCTGTTTTCAATATTTAGTGGAATTCTGCTAATTTGAATCCAAAAATCCAATATGAACGAGTGTTTTCCGATGTTTTCAGTGTTTTCTAATTTTGCATCGATCCATGTCTGTTTCTGTCCAGGAAGTTTATTCAAGTTGTTTAGTCTGTGTTTTGTTCTAGTCTGTATCATTCAGATGTTTAGTTTTATCTCCAAGTAAGGTAAACACAAACGTAAGGATGATTCAGACTTCCTTTCAGTGGTGTGGCGGTTTATTCAGCCAGGTTAGGATGTAACAGTTGTTGAACAAACTGTCAAACTTCAATATTTGTCACTCATTTAAACCTTTTTAGGACTCCATAAAGCCCTTACTTTGGCACCCCCTAGACCCCCAAAATATTTCAGATATTTTGGCCAATTCATAGAATCATCACTGAAGGAACATACAAAAACTCAATACATGTGTGCATGTATGATGTAGGCTATATACACACTATACACTTTCTCATCACAGAAAAGAATCTGCTTATTAATATATGTGGCCACTAGAGAGGATGGAGCAATTGCAATATTTTTTTTCTTACATCATTAATAATCAGGGTTGTCCCGTGGTATTGAAATAGCAGGGTACATCAAAAAAGTAGAAGGGGTCCTGGGGATCCTTCCTTAACAGGGGGTTGAGGACGACTTCCAGAATATCCAGGGAATAATGTCACTATAGGCAGGGAAATACACCAGCCCCTGGGTCTTAGGTACAGCCCTGAATAAATCTGGTAATAATTCTGGTATCAGGAAAACTCAGACCCCTGAAAACCCATATCTTATTTGAGTACAAATATTAGAATTTCTCCATGGCAGGATTTTCTCAGCATTCTAGTAGTTATGGAATACATGTATGACTGTCACAGGGTTGTGGATAACCACTCGCCCACTCGCAAATGCGAGTAAAATTTGCTGTGGGCAATTGGATATAAAAAATCTGGTCGCCCATATGGAGAATGATTTTTTCCGAAACATAATCACATTTTATAGATTTGTATGTACATTCAGTTTTAAGAAAATTAATGCTCTACTAACCTGTATTATTTGTGTCACATGCAAGCATACTAGTCAAACATGCATATGACTGATCAAACATGGCGATTTTATCAAAGCGATCAAATTTGCAATCTCTGTTAAATTTGATGATACGAGAGCAAACGTTTGAGATTGTTCTTATAGAAAATGTAACAATTGGCTATGGTTGCCAGACACTCCATCAGGAGTAGTCGTAGAATGAATTTGAATTATCATGTCAAATGCACACAATAAAAGATCAGAATCAAACTTCATCACAGGTTGTATGCAATTTATTATTTATTATGCCCCAGTGTTAAACCATAGACGCTTCAGTTGTATGGTTAAACACTACAAAATGTAATGAACATATTATTGGATCTCAGTTTTTAAAAAAGAGAAAACCTGACAAAAATTCAAATACTACAAATATATTGATACCAGGAATTTAAAAAAAAAAATCGTTAAAAAAATCAGGAATTTTTGGTTGTTATTTTTTTTTTTTACATATAATGTGGGCCTGTGGATCACACTGTGGGCCTGTAAAATTTGAAAAGTTAGGAGCCCACATGGCCCCTAAAGTTTCAAAAGTTAACCACAATCCTGTGTCATGAAATCAAGAAAAATTTTGTAATTTGTCTTTGAAACACTTGCAGGAAGATTTTTCTCTTAGATAGGGGCTACAAAGTGCTGAGATTGGAGAGTATATTTGTGTGACAGGAAAGGAGAAAATGTCACACACCAAACTGGTTTTGAACCTAGGTACATTATACCATCTTACATATATCTCCCTGCACACTGGCAAACAAATAAATCTGCACCATTACCACATCATAATTCATTGCTTTCATAAATATCTTTTTCCCAAAATATGCAAACCCAGAATTATTTCAATTGTTTTCATTAGGGAAACTAGATATGCAAAAGTGTAGATAACATATTATTATAAATTATTTATTTATTTAACAATTGATTGACCCCTGTAAAGAGAAATTCAAGAAAAGATACCAGGAATTGCTTGAGAAGGTGAAAAGAGGAATACAGTCTGAAGATAAGGACGATTACTCAGTCTACACAGGATCAGCAGGTCAGGTTGATTTGTTTTCCTTTGTTAACTGTCTGTCATTTAAGCAATAAAATGTCTTTCCTTGGCTGTAAGTTTGGGGATTAATGTTGAAGGTGTTGCTGCAATCTGCAATAACTGCATTGTTAATTCCTGTATTAATCTGTTAATTAAGAAAGAAAGATATTTTATTGTTTATATTTACATGATTTATATAAATAATCATATGAATTAGATTTATAAGTATGTTAAGTATTGTATTATTGATTTGTATATCATTGTTTGTTTCATTGATTAATGCTGTAAGAGCCAATGCACAGAAACTTATGTGGCTTAATGCTTAGCAGCGTTAAAGTATTGATAAATTACCGTGGTTTTCATAAGAAATAAAGGAGATAAAATTCAGTGGATGTAACTATTAACATGATTTAGCTATAAGTTTAATCAATTCATCTGATAAGTATACCTCAACTAATACGGTTAGACAGAAGTTTTATGTTTACTTATTTAATGTGGTGGTCAGGCAGGTCTGATCTCTCTCCCTGGTCTGGTCCATCAATTTTCTCTCTGTTACATTTTGATTGTGGGTCTGTCTGTCTGCATGCTGTCTATGTTATTAGGAATCAGTTTTAGTTAAATTTTAAGAATAAGTATGCCCCTGAGTAAGGTAATGACTAGATACACACATTCACACATATTCAATATAGTCATATTTCTAAATGATTTTAATTTCGAGAAGGACATACACAATATACTGTTGATACAACATTGATTTTTTTTTTTCAAAATAGCAAAAGTAAATGAAATTTAAGTTTATTACATGGAGCTAAAAATATATATGTCTGTAATTGTGGACTAAATAAATGAAGAAAAAAAATATCCAGACAGCCACAATTTGCAAAACTTGTCGAGTTTTTTTTTTTTTTTGTGTGTAATAATTTTAATTTGACAAAGATATAAAGAAAAGCTACTGAGATATATATTTTACTCAACTGACTTATTTTGATGGTGAAATCAACCCCCTTTATAATAATTTTCTTAGTTTATCGTTACTATTCCTGATAAGAGAGATATTACTCTATTTTATAAATTTAAAATAAAGTCCTTTATACTCCTATGAAATATGTATATGATTTACTTCATATAACATGGTCGCCCTCATGGGGTAATGGTTAGAGTCTGCTCTAGAGTGGCGGAGTAAGGAGTTGATCCTTACGTTGCGGGTTCGAATCCTACTGTGGGACGTGGAGATCGGTCCTTTGGATGAGACTCTATAAACAGAGGTCCTGTGTCGCAGTAGGTGCTGGCACGAAAAAGATCCCTCACTGCTCAATGGCCTTAAGTGCCGAGTATAGGACAAAATTTGCAGCCCTCCACCGGCAAGTGGTGGCGTCTCCATATGAGTGAAAAATTCTCGAGAGGGACGTTAAACAATATACAAACAAACAAACAAACAAATCATGTAACATGTCTGGCATACCTGATTGAAATTTATACTTTCTGACATAAAATAAAAGAAAAATAGCAATTATCATATATAATACTATGTCATTGTGCTTTTGTATATTTTACAGGAATTGCTTTACTTTACCTTCATCTGTATGAAATCAGTCCTAACAAGGGAGATCACTCATTTCTCCACACATCACTGGATTACATTAGGGGGCACCTTGGTCATCTGATAGGAAGGAGACAGACCTTTCTGTGTGGTGATGCTGGACCACTAGCTCTGGCCACTGTAATCTACTCACTTCTCGGCCGTCACTCAGAATCTCAGATATATCTCAAAAGGTATTGCAGAATCTTAAATGTAGCTCAAATGCAGTTCAAAAGATATTTCAGAAGTATCTTTGGCTGGAATGACCCTCTGATACAGTGGCTGCAACGTTATTGTCATGTAGAATCGTTCGTGAAATGTACGCAATCATTTGTGTAACATGAGAGATCGTGTGTGAATCAGGCTCAATCCTTTGCAGTTTTAATAGTGCATGATCAGCGTTAAGAAATGTGCAAATTTTGTTTTTGACAGTTTTTATCAGAATGTTATTAGTAAAACAAACATTTCGCTTGTCTTGTTTTTAATGGAAATAAAATGTTTTCTCTTAAAATAGCATAACTTTTAATGATGAAAAGTATTCAAGTATTTTACAATTCTTTTTACTGATGTTAATTAAGGAATGTTTTTAAGTTTTGTGTGAGTTATTGGTAGGTAAATCACACAGACTTGTCACGTAGGCATATTTCATGAAGCATGCTAGCACTTTATGAAAAACATGCCTACGTGCAAGTCTGTGTGATTTACACAGCAGGCCTATCGGTGTATATATAGTAACAACTGTAAAAGTCACGCACGATGAATGAAGTATTGAATCATTGGTGATCAGTGTTCAGTTCTGCTCGAGCGGGTCCAATTCAATATAACAGATGAACAGATGAAGACACATTTGAATTGAGTATTAAATAACAGCAATCAAAGGACATTTTTAAAATGATGAACAAATGAAGAACTCCAACGATGGTATAAATACGAATCACCCTTTAAACTTTATGAAAAAATGAAAATTCCAGTGTAGAAAATATTAATCACGTTGGGCGCCATTGTCACCCCATGGGTAATGGTCTAATTGAACGTTTTAACCAAACTTTACTTAAAATGTTGGGAACTTTAGAAAATTACAAGAAAGATGATTGGAAATCTTATATTTTACCGTTGGTTCATGCTTATAATGCAACCAAACAAGAAACAACTGGTTTTTCTCCACATTATTTAATGTTTGGTTGGCATCCAAAGTTGGCCATTGATGCATTTTTAAATTTAGATCCTTCAGAAATGTCTGATAAGCCAGTTAGTCATCAAACGTATGTTGACAAATTGAAGAAAAGATTAAACTTTGCTTATAATGTCGCAAGATCTAATGTCGAAAAAAATACTACAAGACACAAAGAGAACTATGATAATAGAGTCCGATTCTCAAAGTTAGAGATCGGAGACAGGGTTCTAGTTCGTCTTTTAGTAAAGACTGGAAAAAGTAAACTATCTGATAAATGGGAAAAAGATCCATATGTTGTGTTAGATATTCCCGATAGTGACATTCCTGTTTATAAAGTACAGAAGTCATCTGGCAAAGGATCAGTAAGATTACTTCACAGAAACTTACTGTTACCTTTTATGTTCTTGTCAGATGATGACTGTCTTACAAATGATAAGACCAAGAAAAGTAAGAAAACTGTTAAACAAAAGCACTCCAACCTAAGACTTTGGGGAGAGAAGACGCTCTCTCTCCCCAACACAACTTTATCTCACGATAATTGTGAACTTTGTCTAGGATTTACGGTAAGAAATAACTGGTAAATTATTTCTAAGGATTCAATTACTATTCAATATCTATTTGATCATTTTATTTCAATCAAGTATTTTATAAATTCTCCAAATTTATAAAATTTAAATTATGATCCGCGTAAAAGTGTGAGTGAGGCGAGAGATATTTAATACCTGTTGTTATATTTCAGGTCACCCTTCCTTCTATATTATAAAATTCCACAATCGTAGAATATATATTATATATAAACATCGAACCCAGCAGTCGTGTTGTGTTGTATTTTACCACATATATAAGGCTGTGACACACCAATAATTCACACTAAATATAAAAACATTCCTTATTTACATTTTACATATTTAGAAACATCAAAATATACTCAATATTTGAATTTCTAGCTGCCCTATATCATTACATTTTTATTAAGGTCTCTGTAGCCTTATTGTGACATCACTTTAGCGCAAGTTTCTCTGTGTATATTTCTAAACGTGAGTATACACAAAAATCACAGTTGGCTTTGTAGAAGAACACAGCAAATGTAAATATTTATATTTTAACTGCTAACCGTGGTATAGATATTTCTATATCAATACATCAAAAAATATATCTTTACAAAAAATCAAACAAATTCCAATGCTAGCATTTATTATTCATTATTAAGTCGGCGAATATATATGACATAATTGATGGGGTTATTTCTATCATTGATATACTTATTTCATTTTTATAAATTATGCAAATGAATGAAGTGTTTCTTCAAAAAAAACATGGCTGATTTTATAGATGCACAAATAAAAAGAGGGATATACTTTGAATTCATTTTTATTTTTAATGCCAAAATCATCCTATATTATTATTTTTCAATCTTATCATCCATATACTGCATCATAAAGTCCAAATAGAATCAAAACTCACAGACCACTTATATCATCTGACCATATGTGGCAATCGATCATAAATTACACTTTGACATATCGAGCAGATAAAATAATTCCATTTTTCTTTTTAATAACTTGGTGAATTAAATAATTATTTGTAATCTAAAATAACTAAATAAGTCATTTAGTTTCCAAAATTTCCATTTCTAAATATTTTCCCAGTTTTCTTATGTTGGTGAATCATATAAATAATTATTTTTTATCTAAAATAAATACGGTCCAATCTTGTTATCTTGAACCCGAAGGGACCGAAAAAATACTTCGAGATGACGGAGGGTTCAAGATATCCAGGGTAAAATACTTAAAGAAATAAGGGATTGGTACTTCCAAATCTCATCGACATATCCATGGTATTTGAGATATCAGTGTTCGAGATACTGAAGTTCAACTGTATTTAATCTTTTTTTCCTTTCGAAAAAATATCCATTCCTAAACATTTTTAAGTATTTTGCATGAAGAATTATGCATTTGTGTTAGCAATTTTGATTGTATACATGTAACGTGTAGAATCATGTGTGTGAAAATCTTTCTTGTCACAGGTTTAATTGTTTGTTAATCATGAGGAATCGTTAGTGTAACATGGTTGTTTGTGTATATTGTCAACAATCACTGTAAGAGAGATAACTTCCCAAGAAAGAAATTCCAATGTGTCAGATAATTTATTTACCATAGTTTTATAGTAATGAGGACCAATAAATGGTCAATTCATTCATAACCATGATATGTCACAAACATTGACTTTATTGTCTTTTGCCAATATTTTTGTAAGTTATTTTACATAATTATTATTTTATCAAAAATTCCGACTTCAAAAGCAACACTTCATTACATTTTCTACAGTGTAATATGAATTTAATATGCATGACCATGATGACACTAAATATTATTTTCATATTTATCTCTCATTTTTGATTTTATGCAGTGATAATGAATTATTGCTCTTCCTACAGTGTCAAATTTTCCTCATATCATTTAAAAATACATTGTATATGGTAAACATGGCAATTCTTATATGCAAGCGGGTATTACTAAAATTCTTTTAAATCTTACATAGTATATTAATTGTTTCTGATTGGTTAACAGAAAATCTAGGGAAAATCTGCCTTTTTAATAAAAAAATCTCATAGTTGTCAAATACAGTCTTGTATTGTGGCTTTGCCATTTATTTACTATTCAGTGTTACTTAATGTAACACGTGAAAAAAAGGAAAAAAGAAAAATATTGTTGAACATGATAGACACTTTCATTTTATGATTTTAATAGACATGCATAACATTTAATAATAATTGGCAGATGTGCATCAATGTTTTAAATGCTGCTTTCAAATTACAATGTACATGTATCTTTTCTCTTTCTATAGTGAAACATACATTGATAAATTTTTAGCTGAATGAGATATATTTTACAGGAATATATCATTTATTTCACTGCTATTGGATTTTTTTTCACCCTCTCAAATTGTTCATACCCATGCACTACTATGGTGCAAAAATCATAAAATATGTATAAGTTGAATAAATTTTAACACACTTTTCTATGCATAGTATCAAATTAATCCTCTCTAAACCTTTCTCAAGCCTAAGTTAAATTGACTTAAAGTCATTTGAAAGGGAATGTGTAACTTTTATCATGTTCATTTACTGGGTATTATTGTCCATATTTGTCCCCCACTTTCACTGAAGGTGGGGGATTATTATTCTAGTCTGTCTGTCTAGCTGTCTGTCTGTCCATCTGTCATTCTGTCTGTCTCTACACTCATTTCAAGACAGTATCTCAAGAAACCTTTGACCTTTTGCAATGAAAATTTATTATAAATATATCACACCTCCCTATAGATCACCCCTATTGATTTTTAGATGAAAAGGCCAAAGGTCAAGGTCATCAAATCATACATTACAAATAAATTTTTCCAGATGATAACTTTAGTTTTCTTTTAGCTTTCTTCAATAAAATTTTATATCACTACCCCTATGGCCTTAAGAAAACTCCTTTGATTTTGAGGTCAAAAGGTCAAGGTCATAAATTTATACATTCACTTTATGTATAACACTTTCGTTTCTGGGCGATATCTTTAAATGCCTTTGAGCTTAGCTATATAATTAGATATACATGTACAGTCAAATCTCAGTATTTCGAGTCCAGCCCCCCCCCCCCCCCCCCAATAAAAAAACCTTTGAAATAACCATGATTCAAAATATCATTGTTAAAGAACATAAAAAGGAAATTGTGGGGAATTTTGACTCATTTCCAGATATCCATGATATTCAAAATACTAAATTAAGTTTAACTGTACAAACAGCAAAAGGAAGCTAGAAAGGTATAAAATTCACATTGAATTGTAAAAGTTCGTATAACTCAAGTGAAATATTCATGATGAAGATCCATATTCATATTAAAGAAATTTAAATGCGGATGTTATAAAGTAACAATGTATGTGTTATGATTTTTAATCAGGTTGACAGATCTGGGTGAAGTTGTTTTAGCAGACAAACACTTACCTGATGAGCTTCTATATGGCAGAGTGGGGTATATTTATTCCCTCCTGTTTGTACAAAAGAAGCTGGGTGAAGATGTCATTGATAAAGCTCTTTTAAAGGTAATTCTAAACAGTCAGAGGGTGTGATAAAAATGTACATCGGCATCTTCAATCTTGTTTTAATTAATTCAAACAAAGCTTCTTGAGACGTTATATAAACCCCTTAATAAAGACTGGAAATATTTTGTTGTCATACAAAAATAAAATCATGATGGTGAATAAAAGTGTACAGTCTACAGTTTATTCCGTTTCAGAGGTTGACAAGGACTGTGCTAGAGTCTGGTAAAGATTTAGCCAAACAGGAAGGCTTCAGACATCCCCTGATGTACCAGTGGCATGAAAAATACTACTTAGGAGCAGCTCATGGATTGGCTGGTATCCTTTATATATTGTTTCAAGTACGTTTATCATAGATTCTGTGTTCTGATTTTATTTATATCTTACATGTAACCATATAATGTTGAGAATCATTTGACTTGTATACTAAGTTGTATAGAGGTATACCTAAATTATAAGATTTGGGAGATGTATTTACTATAAATGGAAAATAATTATTGTATTTGATATCTTAAGCATATCAGCTTTCACCAATGACTTTAATTTATTAATTTGATCTCCATCAATAAAATGAGACACTCCTTCATTATTGATACATTTGTGGTACTTACTGTTATCTGGTTAAGAGTGTTTATTGTTATAAGTTATGAAGGCTTTTTCCCAAGAAGATAGAATTAATAAGTCTGTGTTTTTTATCAGGCCATTCCATGTTTTTTCTCTGTTTGCATCCACCCATCATTCAAAAGCCTACCTAGCAATTTGCAAAAAACACACTAGTCAAAAAATAATACACAGACTTTAAAGTCATAAAAATGATGTCATTCAACAGAATTGATTTTATAAATCTGTTTTAAACAAAGTTGTATTCTGTAGCAAAATCAAGAAATAAATACTGAAAATACACTTACTATGACATATTGTACACATTAAATGTTTAGAGAAATTGACAGAACTCAAAGATTTCAACCAAAAGAACTAAGTTCAGGACTTCTGATTTTGTTTGTTTTTTCTTATACGGGGTGGAAAAACACAAGGTGCACACAGACACTAAACACAAAAAAATCTGAATGGCTTTAATATTACATAAGGGATCCAACCCAACCCCCCACCCCCCACTCTGTCCAAGCTGGAGGATCCTTCGTCAGGCCCTCTTTGATGTGGAGGATCCTTTGTGAAGCCCTCTGTAGAAAGCACTACAGATACACTCTGTAATTATGTTCATTTTTTTCGCAGATTAAAGATCCACCCCTCCATGCTGAGGTGGCTTCTCATTGAAACCCTATGTGGACTTCATTACAGATTTGAAGATTTGATTTATCTTTTTGTATTATCAGATTAAGTATCAGGCCTCCAGGCATAGATACACTCTTTAATGAGCCCCCCTGTTTACTTCATTATAGAATAGTTTTCTCTTTTTGATCAGATTAAGGATGCAGACCTACAATCTGAGATTGATTCCCTGGTGAGGCCCTCTGTGGACTTTATGCTGTCTCTCCAGTTTCCTTCAGGAAACACTCCCTCTTCCCTTGGCAGCAGCACTGGAGACAAGCTTGTCCACTGGTGTCACGGAGCCCCTGGGTGGATCTACATGTTTATTCAGGCTTACAAGGTTAGTTAAACAGAGCCTCTAGGTGGATCTACAAGTGCATTCAGGCTAACAAGTGTAGTTAAACAGAGTTCATAGGTGGATCTACATGTTTATTCAGACTTACAAGGTTAGTTACACAGAGATCTAAAAGTTCATTCAGGCCAACAGTTATAGTTAAACAGAGCCCCTTGATGGATTTACATGTTTATTTAAGCTTACAAAGCTAGTCAAACAAAGACATTTGATAATGAACTGCAACTGTGCTTTAATGAATGAAATGTTTACACTCAGTTACAAGAAGCTATGAGAAATGAGTAACTCAACAAATGGTTCAGATTTCTCAGGGATGTTTTCACTGAAAATTTTTGAAATAATAGTTTTTGACTTTGTATGAAAAGATGTGAATTTGATAAGGCATTATTTTTTGTAGAGATATTCTGACAGTAAGTATTTAGAAGCTGCTAAACGCTGTGCAGATGTCATCTGGTCACACGGACTCCTGAAGAAAGGTTATGGCTTGTGTCATGGAACTGCAGGAAATGGTTATGCCTTCCTAGCCATGTATAAACTGACAGGAGAAACAATCTACCTACACAGGGCTATAAAGGTATGTCATGATGTAACGGGAGGAAAAACTCTACTTCCTAGAAACTGTAAAGGTACAGTTGAACTTTGGTATCTCAAAAACCAATAACTCAAATACCTGTTATGTGTTCAATGATGATATGAAGGGTATGTTGAATTAAAGTATTAAGTTATTCATAATTTAACAGGAGAAAAACAGCATTACTGTACTTTCTTAAGGCTTTAAAGGTATATGATGTACAATCTGACCAAAGAAAAACTGTACCTATACCAGTATCAGCTTTAAGGTAGTTGGGGGTGGGAGACTGCGAAAAGGATTCATTCAGTCCTCATTATCTTGAACTTGATGGGACTGAGAAAGTACTTCAAGATATCCAATGATCATTCACTAAAAGCCAATCTGCAGCTAGATGAACAAGCTAATTCAGAGAATTTGTGTCCCCCGCTTAAGGAAAAAAAGGAGAGCATGCGCAGATCTAGGAGAGGGGGGTCAGACCTCCCCCCTGGATTTGCAGAGTTATTAGATGTATATACTAAAACACATAAAAAATGCCAATAATGACAATATAGATTAGATTGCTTATTCTTTAAAATGTGTACAGAAGATTCTTTTTATATAAAGTATTTATCACACTGTAATGATTTTATGAGAAGTATGGTATTTTATGAAATATGGTATCGTCCGGGATTTGAACCCCTCTCACATTCAATGCAAGAATCATACCCCTAGACCAGAAATTCACTTGACACTGATACAAATCAAATGCAAACAGAAGGTTACATATACATGTATATATTTAGGTTCAATATTGTCAAAATTTTACACAACACATGATGTCTAATTTAGCCTTTGCTAAACAGTTTTAATAGATGTAATTAGAATATAAAGACAACAACATGTATTATATGTAATAACTCTCCACATGCTCCTGTGCTAAAAATGGTGCCATGCAACTTCTAATACAAATTGGGAGTAACTCTAAATCTTTGAGCGTGATCAATGCCATCAAATTTCCAATTGACTTAAAAAAAAAATGACCAAAATAAAAAAAAACGGGTGGGACACTTTGAGATAGGCGGAGGTGGCCATTGTGAGTTATGGTATAAAATTTCATTGCAAAAAGCTCAGAAGCTTCTTGAGATATTGCCCGGAAATGAAAGTGTTACACACAGACAGAATGTATGAATTTACGACCTTGAACTTTCACCTAAAAATTTACAGGGGTCTTCCTTAGGCCACAGGGAGTTGTTATGTAAAATTTCATTCCAAAAGCTCAAAGGCTTCTCGAGATATTGCACTAAAACGAGTGTTAAAACAGATAGAATTTATGAATTGATGTCCTTGACCTTTGACCTTTTGACCTCAAAATCAATAAAGGTCTTCTTTGGGCTATAAGGAATTGTTATGTATGATTTCATTGCTAAAGCTCAAAGGCTTCTCAAGATATCGCACGGAAATGAAAGTGTTACAGACAGACCCAAATAAATATTCCCCACTTTCAGTGAATGTGGGGGACAAAAACATTTCAGGCATATTTCATTTCTTGGCTACTACTGGACCAGAAAAGATGAAACTATTGAAGAATCTAAATTGTTCGATTCATGACCCCTGGGGTAAGGTGGGACTACAATGGGGGATGGAAGTTTATACATTGAAATGTATAGGAGAAATCTTTAAAAATCTCCTTTTTAGGAACCACTGGGCAAGAAAAGATGAAACTTATGTGGAAGCTTCCTGAAGAAGGGTAGATTCTATATTGTTCAAATTACTCCCCCAGGAGTAAGTTGGAGGGTCACAATAGTGGATGGAATTTTTACATTGAAATATATAGGAGAAATCTTTTAAAAAGTTTTAAAAAATTCTTTTCAAGAGCCACTGGACCAGGAAAGAGAAACTTATGTGAAAGCTTCTTTTCAAACTGTGGACCCTTGTGAGAGGGGGCTAAAATTTTACACAATGCAAGTGTACAGGACAAGAAATTTCTTCTCCATAACTGCAAGTCCATGTAAAGTCATACTGATATGGCATGTGGATTCAAATACTCTTGGAGTTAGGATGAGGCCCTAAAATTGTGTCACAATTTTTTTTTGTGAAAAAAACATTTTAAAAATTTCTTGAAGAACCAACTAACTCAAGGGAATGTTTTGGCCCATGGGCCTCTTGTTTTCATATTTTTGCTGTCATAGGGCAAATTTTTCCAATAGATAATATTCAGAAGTAATGCATAATTTCGCTCTTTTTTGAGAAAAGAAGAAAAAAAGTTGGAGGACTGGGGGTTAAAGGGTAGAAAAAGAAGAAGTCTGCCTCTCCATATTCATATGTCTGAAAAGCAGTTGATGTGACAACTGTATACACTGTAATCACTTATTTGGGGAAGGGGGTGTCAAATTTTCGTGGTTCTAGGAAAAATGACTGGTTCTAGAGGGTTTGATTTCGTGGATAAAGGAGAAACTTTGTACTGCAGTATGGGATTTGAACATTTCATTGGGAACATGATTACATTGGTTTCTTCAAACCATGAAAACAACGAATATTAAACTCCTAAATGAAAATAAGTTATTTCACAGTTTGTCAGTGTCAAAAAAAGGTGCTCATTACATTGCAGGTGGCCATAAGGCCCATTGTCAAATTAAATTTGACTTTAGACCTGTTGTATATTTTCCCGTGACAGTTTGGACATTTTGTATTTCAGTTTGCGGAGTGGTGCTGTGATTTTGGAAAACATGGATGTAGAATTCCAGACAATCCATATTCTCTCTTTGAAGGTAAGTGAACTGTGAAGAGACATAGGGGGAAAACATGAATTTAAAGTGAAAGAAACCCCATCCCATTTTCTTTTGTTGAAGGTAAGTGAACTTTGAAGAGAGTGAAAGTATTCATAGGGAAAAACCAGACACACCACATTCTGTCTTTGAAGGTAAGTGAACCCTGAAGAGAATAGAAGTTATTGTAGGGAAAAAACGTAGATATAGATAACCAGACAACCAATATTTTTTTCTCTGATGGTTATCATGAGTACACTGTGAAGACAAAGTAATACATGCAATATGAAAAACATTGAAAGACACTCCTCCACTGTAGATGAGTTAGACGGGGCAAATTTACATGTATGGTGATACAGAGTGCTTTTACATTTTCTCTTAACTGCAAAGTTTTCTGAGAATCTAGTAACTTGACCATATGTGTTCTTGCGTTCCTGCAAGTGAGCACTCATGATAAATACTAAATAAGTGACCATTTTTGCTAAAAATGTCAGAAATGCTAAAAAAGGTGATCAAAGTGAACATGGACACCAAACTGATCATGGATACTAAAATAAGTTATCATGAATACTAAATGTGAAATCACTACTTTTCGTGGGGATTTAATTCTCGTTTCTGATGTATGAAAAGACCCTCGAATTAATGACCTCCATGATATGTAAAATGTCACATATCTACTCAACAATTCGTCATCTACGGAATTAAATCCTCACAAACCCACATTTTTTTTCTTCAGATCACAAAAATTTGACCCAACGAAAATATACGATTTTACAGTCGGTGATCATAAATCTCCGTTTCCGTTTGGAGAAGGTTAAATAAGTTTGCAAATTTCAGTCAGGTTGATAATGAAAAAAAAAAAAGAAAATGTTCTGCTTTCTTGTGCCTTTCATTATAAAAAAAAATGTACAGTTTCATTTCATTCATGGATGTTGTGATCTAAACACATATTTGTTTTTGTTTCATTTTGAATATGCATTTCCTTCCCCTTCTGATACTAAAATGTGAAAGATGTTTTTTTTAAATAGTTTGATCCCTTCTTGATATTGAAGTCTTGAAAAAAATAGCATGTAGAACTGCAATTAAAGGCTGTTTGTAAACATTCCATTACTGCCATTTACGTATTTATGTGTCATTTAGGATATTTTCACAATTTAACTTGCATTAATTATAAGACTCATTTTTGTCATTCTTCCTTTTAGAAAATACAATTAACTTCCACAGCTCATATAGATCCTCAAACTGTGTATGACCATTTATGGCTATCATTTATTTCAGTACAAAAAGAGATAAAAACAAGCTGTTTTAAAGGTCAAAAGTAAACACACTTTCCATCGTGTTACACGAATGTAATAATGTGATAATTTGTAGTGATAATTTGACGTATGTATGTCTGTCATACAGGTGCCAATAGAAAAATAAAAAAAAATGATTTTTTGTCTCATCTCTTTCAGGTATGGCCGGGGCAACTTATTTCTTGTCTGACATTTTGAATCCAGAAAATGCTTATTTTCCGGCATTTGAGTTGACCTAATGATAAAAAGGACAAGTCAAACTATCTTGAATTTTTCTTCATTTTACATTTTGTTATATGTTTCACATTCACTTCAATCGTTGAAAAATAAAGAATGAAAAGGTATTATGGTTTTTTTTTTCTTTTTTTTTTTATTTTACATGTTGTAATTGGAAAATCTGACCAAAATGAACTGTATTTTCAAATTCACAATGTTGGGAAAAATGATGAGTAACAATGTATTTATCTATTTATTTATCTATTTCTTTATTTGTTCCAAGGAACTTTTTGAAAATTTGAAATCACAAGATTTTACCAAAATCAACAGCTTAAAAACTTTTCAACTTCTTACACAACCATTCCCCACGATAAATTAAAGTCCAGGCTTTTTGATATCATTGACAGCTGCGTTTTCAATAAAAATGGAACTCGTTAATTTACTTACCTTGTCATTGGTTATTTGCAAAATTATTTTGTTAAAATACATTCTGATTGTACACACAAGTACTCTGAAGTTGACATTAAAAAGATGCTTGAGTTTCTCATTGACAATGTCTATGTGGGTTTTGGTGATCAGGTCTTCCAACAATGTATTGGAATTTCTATGGGTACCAATTGCGCCCAGTTATTAGCAGAACTATTTTTGTATTAACATGAAGCAGAATTTGTCCAAAATCTTATACGTGAAAAGAAGAAAACACTTGCTGTGGCCTTCAACTCGACATTTAGATATATCGACGACGTATTGTCAATTAACAATGGTAAATTCCATTCTTAGGTCGATACGATATATCCCGGTGAGCTTGAGATAAAAGATACCACAGAGTCTGAAACATCTGTTTCATATTTGGATATTTTACTTGAAAAAGACGTTAATGGTAATCTAACAATCAACCTTTATGATAAACGTGATGACTTTAACTTTTCAATCGTCAACTTCCCTTACTTATGCAGCAATATACCTTCATCATCTGCATACGGGGTTTATATCTCTCAGTTGATTCGATATGCAAGAGCATGCTCTACGTATGTACAATTTCTAAAACGAAGTAAATAATTGACAAACAAGTTGATGAAACAAGAATATCAGCAGTCTCGTTTAAAGTCATCATTTCGCAAGTTCTATGGTCGATACAATGACCTTGTCAGCAAATACAATTTATCATTGAGTCAAATGCTGACTGACGTTTTTCATACTAATTGTTAGGCCATTATTTACACACTGAATTGTCGACAGTTTTTTCCGTTATTTCCCGATCATGACAAGGAACACACGGCGGGTGTGACCGGTCGGCAGGGGATGCTCACTCCTCCATGGCACCTGATCCCACCTCTGATGTTTGGAGGTCCGTGTTTGCTCTGCTCCTATTTTGTATTGTTAAATGGACTTTTGAGCTTGAATACTGTTCGTTATCTCCATATATTTCATTGTATGCTGTTAGTTTGAGATTTAACTCTAGCACTGAGCTTTTCTAAACAATTCTTGTTCATCTGTCAGTTATCTGTTAACTTTTCACATTTATTTTTGACTCCATCTTCTTCCCGACATTCAAGGTAATTTCAACCACACCTGTCGCAAAACATGCTTGAGTGAAGGGAATTTGCAAGAAACGACAATTATAAGTTTAATGTAGGAATATACAGACTGAGGAAAAACATTTTTCTCAAGAACAGAAGGACCAAAATAATAGGATAAATTTATATGCAATAATCTCACTGTAGTTTAGATTTCTAAGTTTGACCACAATGGAGGGTACAGTTTTATTTTGGAATATATATATATATATATATATATATATATATATATATATATATATATATATATATATATATATATATATATATATATATATATATATATATAGGAACTATATAAATATAAAATCCACGTTTGATCATGGATTCAAATTTGTTTGAATCTAGACACTTAGGATCAGGGTTAAGGCCGCAAGAAGTAGTTAAGGTTATAATCAGTAATGTTTTCGAAAAAAAAATCTCATTAGGAATAGTGCCATAATTTTATATGTAATGTTGAAATGCAAGTATTTTTTGTAAGGGTTACATCTAATTAACATGCTGGTTCAAAGATTTCATGAATGTTGTTAGAAGACGACATGTGTCCATATCCGTGTCAGTGGGTGATATTTGCTGATTGACCATACTTCTATATATGCCGATATATGGCTGAAATATTGCCGACTCGGCGGCGTTAAACAATATCAATCAATCAATCTATATATGCCGCATGAAGCTTGATTTAAATTCTATCTCCCATTTCATTTTTGTGAATGAAATTCTGATTTTGGATGCTTTGATAGTTACTTAGACCTTGAATTGTCCATGTCGCTCTACAGCATTTCTATACCCCCCTTTTTTTCCATGACATCAGAGATTTAAATCTTGAAACAATGAAAGCTAATAGCAAGATTTTGTACGTTTTTAACAGCATTTAATCAATCATAATCATATAGATTTTAATATCAATCCTGCAATGTCATAAAAATAGAATAGACCAATATGCAAAAGTCGGCGATATTTTATCAATTAACAATATTTATTTTCATTCCTACGTTGATTCGATATATCCCATTAACCTTGACATTAAACACCACTGAGTGTGACATATTTTTGGATACTTTACTAGAGAAAGATATTGATGGCAAGTCTGGAGGTTTCAGAGCAAAAAGGGGGAAAATTATGTCATATAATTTTGACGCAAAGTAACACGACGCCGACAGAAAATATACTTTGATTTGAGATACACAAAATCAACTGAGCATTTGACTCAGGTGAGCTATTAACGTAATATAGATAAAAGATTAAACATACACGGCATGATAGAAGTTTGCGGTTGATGTAATCCGAAAACACGGGGAATTCAGCTCTGCACTAACTTTGTGCATTGGAGGAAATAATATGCTGGACCTTTCAATCATTTTGAAGAGGAATATCTAAATCGGGGCCATTTTTCCAAAAAGTAAAAGTTTTTTTTGGTGGGGGGGGGGGGGGGGCATCAAGACCAAGAATACCTCTTAGCACAGAATACCTTACTTAATGGAAAAACGCATTTTTGGAAATTTCAAAATTTCTCTGCAATATTTCGGCTCTTCACATCTTTATATTTAATAATATGTAATATTTACAACTTTTTGGGCTTTTGGGGCTTATCTAATTTGAATTGAAGGCCACAACGTTAGAGACTTCTTTTCATGTAGAAGTTTTTCTAAAAAAACTTCATAAGAATAAAAAAAATAGTTCTGGTAACAACGGGACGAAATTATTACCAATGAGAATTCCAACATATTGATGGAAGAGCTGGTCTCCAAATACTACATATAGATGTCGTCAATGAGAAACTCGAACATTATTTTGATATCCACCTCAAAGTACTTGTGCAAAGAATTAGGGTAATTTTAAAGAAAAAAAGCTTGCAAATGACCATTGACAAGATATGCAAATTTTAATTGAAAGAGCACTTGTCTATGATGTCAAAAAGCGTAGTCTTTAATTTATCATTGGGAATGGTTCTATGAAATGTTGAAAAAATCATGCAGTTTGATGCTAATGATTACTTTTCAAAAGGTTCCTCCGAGTTTGTACTTTCGATAATTTAATAACATGGCTTCTCGAATACGTTGTTGTCGGTTCTCCTGAAGTTTCTTCCTCAAAGCTGTTAACACTTTAGTAAGGAAAGAGGCTACATGTGCAACATTTGGTAGAACCCTCATGTATCTTTGTAAAAAAAAAAATGAAGTTTAGGAATTCAGTATAACTATGACAATTTGAATTCAGTTTGGATGTACAGAATGTAAAAAAAATACCCAAAAAAAAAAATCCTTCATTGATGCATCCTCTGGCATAAATACATGTAATTTATAATATTTATGAAATTTTGTCGCCACTGGAAAGTTCGGTTTTCCTTAAAATTTTACCCTTTTAATAAAAGTTATTGAAGGTCGTCATTGTTAACTATATTCATGTCACCGGTAATGACGTGTCCAGCAGGACTACAGTTGTAGGGAGAACAGGATTTTGCTTCATAAGTTCGATATCTATTTAGCCACTTTCTTCCCACAAGTTTTTTATTAAAATAGAAACTTTGATGTTATATGACTGTTTTGGGAGGACAGCTCTTTAGAGTTCTTTTTGTAATCAAAAGTTTGGAAGCAAAAGTCGATGAATATTTGTAAGGAATATATAGTGTAGACTTCAACTTGAAATATGGTGGAATCTTTATGTATATTTAAGAATTCCACGATTCAGAAATACATATACATGTTCTTTCTGGTTACTGAAATGTACGTCAGACATTTTTATACTGCAAACATGATTTTGTTGATGAATTGCTATTTCAATCCCGATTTAGTATTCCTGTTTGGTAACATGACTCAATCAAGTGACGAGTGGTCAATACTTTTTTCTATTTAAAGTATATATCCAAATCTTATCCCACTTCTTTACGCTGTCAGCCAGTTGGATATATACTTAAAGATTCTGCACTTCTACCAACAAAGAAGCAGCTGATAATTTGATTTAAAAAATTGCCTTATGATTGCTTAGCATAAAGTACAGTGGGACTTCCTTTTTATGGCGTATGGATTACTTACTAATTGATTGTTAACGTTTGTTCGTAAATTTCATATTTTATTGGTATTCATATACGGGCACACCGATTAATTGTTTTTTGACGTCAAATCAATCCTCTCCAAGTGAATTATGTGGGCGCTGTCATACAAACCTGCAATAGTAAACATGTTAAAGACCAAAGTGTAATAAGTATGTACTTATTTCAATGTGAATATCTAATGACCCTAAAGGTGCACTGTGTTTGTAAGACGTAAAATAGATAACATAACTCTTAATTATGAATGAGTAAACCAGGAAATCCTATTTTTTGGCAAGTTATTTTCTCATGTGAAAATTTAGAATTATATATTTTATGTAATATACAGATGAGCATATTGCACTTGCATATATAAATAGTTGATTAATTGTTCAAAGAACGATGTTTAAAGACATTTATTTTAAATTTTTTATATTTGATTCTTAACAGCATTTATGGAAAAGAAACCAAAAAATGGCTCGAAAGACTGAAAAAAAAAAGAAACTAAGTAGACTTGATCTTT